CATGCAGGTCTGATAAAATCGGAAGATGAGTTTGATTCAGACGATTACCTCTGGTTCGGTGGTTCGAGAAGTACAAAAATAATGACGACGATGACTCGGAGGTTCCCCTAAGTAGTTGAGCAATAGCGGCCAAGAGCTAACCAACATTGAAATTGTATCTTCCTGAGCTGGATAGCTTCCCAACTGTTGATAATAATTTAATAACAACGGAGTTATTAACAGATAATGATATAATTACTGAAGTCTTACAGATCTTCAAAGCTCTGGTAACGAAAGCGACGATGATGTTCAACAGAACGAAGTACCAACTGAAACGCTTTGTGCCGCTAAAATCGTTACACATTTTTTACAATCTACTGATAATATAACTGATGGTATTATGCAAACGTCCTGGAAGGTTGTATTTGTATAGAAAAAAAAAACAAAAATGACGATTTTTTTTAATCAAAAAGAGTAAAGTGCAACTTAAATGTTCAATGGGACATATAACTGTATTTTTACTTGTATGTTGCAAAATTTATATAGGTCGATAAGTTTTTAGTTTAGGCAGTTTAGTTTCTTTCGTTTTTTAGTACCTATGTTAATTTTTATTAGTTTTCTATTTTTATATAAAATAAAAATATGTACGTACCTACATATTTTTTTTTTCTTTATAGCGTACTTCCGCTTATAGAGATCCTAGAGGGTAATTTATAACCGTAGTCCACTGTATAGGGAATAATATAAATTCAAGTTACTTGCACCAAATTAAATTATTATTTTGGTATAATAAAATAAATAATAAAAATAAAAATATAAAAAGTAAAAAACCTCAAATAGCAAATATAAAATGGTCCACGCGCGTTCAAAAACTGTTAATTCTTCTTTGTAAAGCGAGCGATTTTTGTCTTGACATCGTCAAATTAGGCATCGGTGTCAAGGACATCCGCGCAGGATGAAATAATAATTATCGCCGAGCTAATGTAACGCGACAAAATGTCGAAAAAATTAGCGGTTGCGCCATGCGTTGTTATTCATTAATAATCGCCCGGGGACAGGTTCCACGGCTGTCCAATTCGCGTACCCATTCATGAATACGTAAAGTGTCAAAATTCGCTAGCTTGGCAACGCCGCACCCAAAAGTATAAGCAGTGGACGCCATTTAAGCATCCAATATGGAAGTGAGACAGGTGGTAATACTAACGATAGGTTCCTGTAATAAGAGAATGTTTTATCTAATTTGTCAGTTCTAGTAGTTTTTTTTATTAATATTTCCGAAACTGGCTGAGAGAAAATTTTAAAATTGTAACGTTTTAGTAATTTTGGGATGCTGAATCTGATTCTAAATTGTTAAATGACAAATTTTGGCCAGAGGCGTAACGTTTGACACGTTGGACTTTTATCCAGTTCGCGCACCCATTCGTAAATACATAGTGTTAAAATTCGCTTCCTTGGCAACGCCGCACACAAAATTATGAGCCTTATAAGCAGCCAATATGGCGGACAAGCAAATTTTATTTAAAATGAAACGGGTGGTAATACTAACGACAGGTACTGGTTTTTTATTAATCTTTCCGAAACTGGCTGAGAGAAAGTTTTAAAATTTTAACGTTTTACTAGTTTTGGCATGCTGAATCTGATTCTAAATTATTAATTGACAAATTTTGGTCAGAAGCGTGCTGTTTGACAGGTTCGACGACTCTCCTGTTCGCGCACCCATCCATAAATACATAGTCTCAAAATTCGCTAGCTTGGCAACACCGCACCCAAAATTTTGAGCCGTATAAGCAAATATGTATAAACAAATTTTATTTAATGTGAGACAGGTGGTAATGTAATCCTACGTTAATATTAACGACCTGTGACTGTAATAAGAAGATTGTTTTATATTATTTGTCAATTTTACTTCCTGCAAGTGTTGTGGTAAAGGTATGGACCTGAAAATGTTTTTTTATTCATATTTTCGAAACTGGCTGGAAAATTTTAACGTTCTAGAAGTTTTGGCATGCTGAGTCTGATTGTAAAATATTAAAGACAAATTTTGGTCAGAGGCGTAACGTCTGAGGGGTACAGATAACAAAAACTGCGTCTTATTCTATCAAGCCATTCCTGTTTACAGGGAGTATACTGTCTCGATTACAGTCGTCGGCAAAACTTTATACAGGGCGATTCTTAAACGACGACAAGCGGGAAAATAACGCACCAGTCTTACGCTTAAAACACGTACCAGCTTAATTCGTGACGCCACAATATAATTTTCCATGGCCTACCGCAATAATTAAAACAACAATTTCTATTTTTTGTTATTCTTTAAACGATTCCGAGTTTGTTCAACCCGCGGCAGATGTTCGGTCTCGTTTTAATTCAACAAAAAAAAATTAGTAAGTTTTTTTTTACGGATTCGTCGTTTGATAAATATGGGTGACGGTAATTTCGAGGACGAAACCGAAAATATGGTTCGGTTGTTTGTATACGATGTACGAAAATGTTCGAATATGTCGCAAACGTGCTCGCGTAATTATTACTGTTGCAACTACGCCACTGTTTAGGACACTAAGCACGTAGCTTTACTCGTTCGGCCCGTTTATTGTTATTATACAGGGTGTATGCTGACCGAAAAGGCTACATTTTTCATGTATACAGCGTGAAACGCCCATTTTGCTCTAACGACATTTAATCATGTCTTGTGTATAAATTATTTAAAAAAAATCCTGTAAAATGCAATGACAATTCACAAAATTATAAATTTACGAATGTCAAACTTCGTGTTTATAAATTTTATCGACCATTTTGCCCTGAAAAAAGCATTAATAGTATACTATGCAACGGTGCGGAAAACGGCATTTTATGCACGGTTTATTTGCCACGAGCGGAGCGAGCGTTCATTAAACGTGTTGCATACTATACTTTTTCTACGAGCGTTAGTTTTTGGGTAAATTTTCGCAAAACATCGCGAATACATTCACTGACATGACCATTAGAAACGTCACAAGTGCGGTAAAATCCCTCAAATGTCCGATGTGACTAATTCAGCATATTGACAATTGACAAATTAAAAAAAAATGGAAAAATTAAATTTACTCAACGAAATACTTAAAATAGAATAAACATTCAGTTAACATGACAATTATTGATGAGTGCTGCGATATGTAATACTTTTAATTCAATTGTTCCAATGCAAAACGCAGCTGACAAGCGAAATTTTATGCAGAAACGTCTGGACTATAAAAAAAATATGCGATTTAAATCGCGGACGGAGGCTACAAGTGTACAGAAAGCACATACCAAATTTTGCAAAGAATCGTGAGAAACCAACAGTGTATTCAGCAGATATAAATAAGTAAAAAAGTTTATATAAAGTTTTGTTCTAAAATCCTTCATTTCGGAGATACAGCGTGTTGAAATATTTTTTAAAAATCTCTTCTAGAATTTACTGTCATACTTGTCGCCACTTAAAAACAAATATGTGGCATAGATAACCTTGTTTTTGTTTAAACAGTGGCGTTCGTGAGACCGTTCTTCTTAATTTAAGTAATAAAAAAAAACGGTACGCCAATGGTTTATTGCAATTTTGCTAATAAATTTAAATACTCCGATCAATTCTGAACAAAAACGGTTTTCTCACTGAAACGAACCATTTAAATTTACATTTGCATCTCAATTTTTTATTATTTATATTATTTATATTATTTAAAAGAAAAGAACTTCGCGATTTCGTGTGGTAAAGGGACGCATTGTTTTTCTATCGTGCTCCTGCGGACCACTATGGAATTTTCACAAAATCGATGTAATTTGATTGTCCATGCGCCCTGTATAAAATGTCCTTCACATCTCGTCGAATTCCAAAGTTACAGCAAACATCGGCAAATATTAAAATTTGCACAAAAAATAGCGTCGTCGAATGATATTTTTTGAAATATCTCGCGTCCTGTATAATTGACGAAACCTGAAACTCTCTCACGACTCGGTTTACGATACTGTTCAAATAAAATTTAACGGTTGTTCATTTATCGCCAAAAATGTACCCACAAAAACGGAAATTTTTGGGGTATTTTTAAAGCTAAAATTACCAAAAAAAATTTTTCAAACATTTTTAAAAAATACTTTTACTTCTCTGCTAAATTTGAAGTTGATATCTGCAAATTAAGGACACCTTTTTTACCTTTTTCATTTAGCACGGAATATCGGGAATACCCTGTAAAATAGGTGAAAACCTTAAATACAAAAGTTTTTGCTGTCTATTCCGGCTCTATCGCAATATATAAGAAAGTGAGATCTGAATCATAGTCTTTCAGTTATAACCAATTTTCAATAATAGGGGGACTCATTTCTCAGTTTTTTTGAATTTGCGGCGCACCCTGTACACCTTTGCACGCGCGATTTTTGCCACGCCCCATTTGCCAAATATGAAGTCGATTGCTTCAAATTTCCGACACTTATCGTGTTTCATAGCAAGGTCCAAAAACCAGTTACAAAATTATGTGCCTCGTGGAGGGTTAAACAGGAGGCAAATTTCAATTTTGTAGCTCCAACGGTTCGAGAAAGTTATTCAGGAAAAACCAAAAGACGAGAACGGAGAACAGAGAACGGACAAACAGACAAAAAAAATTTTTTTTCGACGGTGATCATTTCCGTTGTTTTTAAGTAAGAGAAGAGATTTTTTTACTTCAATTTATTTACATTATTTGCTTATTTTTATCTACTGATAACAAAAAAAAATTATTTTTGAAAACTTTGCCTCTCAATGTTTATTTTTTTTTTCTTAAAATTAATTCAAGAATCACCTTCACGGAGGCCGTACTTTTTCTGTGTGTATTTATTCAGTTTCAGTTTCTAATCGATAACCAAACGGGTTTCGACGACCCTGATACCGAAACAACCTTCCAAAAAATTTTACAATCACGTATTTAGACCCCCGCTAATCGTTTTCTCAAATACCACGCGATGAGGTTGCGGTTTTGGACGCGTGACCTTTGCGCAATTTTTTTCTTACGCGACTCATCTCGCGTCTTTGCCCGCAGGAGAGGCCCCGGCTTAAAATGTCGGTGACGCCCCCATGGCACCCCGGCGGACAATCGCGGCCCCAAGCGACACCCTCGATCAGGCGGTACGCCACGATGGGGACCCAACAACCCAACTCGGTGCCCGAATACCAGGTCGACCCTTATAGGCTGCTTGAGGACGATTTAAAAGACGTTTACACGTATATCCGGAACGTAAGTAAAAAAATATACATATATTTTTATTGTGTATTTAAAAAAATATATAATTTTCTTAGGGTTTAGCTTTTATTTTACTTAAATACTTTTAAAAATTGCTGATTAGAGCTCTTGAAGTCTTAACAAGTTTCCAACAATTTTTTTTTGTAATTACTATTTCAAAAATGCTTCTTCTTCTATCTGTTGTTTTGTTGACAAATATAAAACTGATAAAATTCGAAATTCTACCTACTTATACTTATTTTTGTCGTTGTCGTTAGGTCCCAATTAATTTGTTTTTCTCTTCAAAATTGATTTGTTTTCGTCTTTTTTTTGGAATGTTTTCCTTAAATCTTAAATAACGTTATCGATTTAATATTATTTCTGTATTATGTGTATTATGTATTATCTGGAATGTTGCTCTTTTGTACCTACGCTGTACTGAGTCGTTAACCGTATTCTGCGAATGTTAATTTAATATCTTTCGCGTTTTGTTGCCAAGTGGTTAATATATGTATGCATTTACATTGTAAATTTTATTATTTTTGCTTTACCTTTTATGGTAAATAAATATTTATGATTATTCAGAAAAATGTTTTGAAAATGTTTTAAGATATATGCCTAATATAATTTTTATTTTAATATTTTTCTCTTTTTTTTTTAAACTGCAAAATCGAAATAAAAATAGCGTCCTGTACTCTATTTCAATTTAAATGTTTGTCGTTTTAATTCATATTAACAGCTTTAATATATAACATTAATCGTTATGCCTAATTCAAGTTAATATTGTTTTTATAGAAGAGTTTTTGCACATGTCTGTTGTTTCGGTACATCAAAATCTGGAAAAATTTGTATTTTTTTAAGCATCGCGTTTTATTAAGTTTTTTTTTAGAATTAATCTTTGGTCGCATTTTTTGTAGTTATTCCTTATTTAGAAAACATTTTTTGAGTTTGTCTTGGAAATTGCAAATTCTATTCACTTTGACATATTATTTTCATTGTATTAACGGGTTGTAATTAAATTTTTGAAAAAATTGAAAAATAAATGAGAACGATTGGTGATCATTGTGTGATTCGTACATCGAATTAAATTTCATATTTAAAATTATTTGTTGCCGTTGATTTTTTTTATGTTTAATTTTTGAATTTAATTAATTGGGAATTATGTATTGCCTGAAATGTTGTATAACGTAGAACTCTGTATTACGAACAAAATGTGTACTATTAGGTCTCCATACAAAGCTATGTATTAATCCACTCTGTATAGCGAATTTCTCACTCTCTCTACGAAAAGAAGGGGACACATCAAGTAACAAAAGGAAGGAATGTATGGCGACCTGTAATTAATAGAGTCTTCTTACCTTCTCAGAATTCCTTACTCTAATAATCTAATTACCCGTGGTCGTCCTAAGTGTTTTTGTCGTAATAAGCGATTATGTTAATAAAAAAATGACAATTGTTTCGACAACACCGTGTCTTTATCAAATGTATCAAGTTTGATAAAAGTTCTTATTTATTTTGATAAATGGATATTCATCAAGTAAAAGCCACCTCAGTTCAATGTTCGATTAAAAAGCACACTATTGCTTCAATCAGTTCTAATTTGACTTAGTGAATACGGCGAGCATGGCGAGTAAGGGAAAAATTTTGTCTCTGGATGATAAAGTTGCTTTAATTCGGTAGATAGAACGGAGAGAAAATAAAAGTGACGTTGATACAGACTTACACCGTCTACTGTATCCACGATTTGCAAGTGCAAAGAAAAAATCATTCAGGCTGAAGCGGCAGGTAGTTCTATTAAAAAACGAAGAAAGCTAAAATTTGAAGATTTGGATCCGGCAATGTTGCAGTGGTTCTAACAGCAACGTCTTAAAAATGTACTATTCTCTGGACCTGTCGTGAAACTAAAAGCAGAAAAGTTTGCTGAACGGTTCGGCATTATCGATTTCAAGGTTTCGGAACATAGTTGGGGAAGTTCAAACCGAGACATGGTATAAATTATCGGCAGATAAGTGGCGAAGCCCGTGATGTCGACAAAAACGTCGCTAACGATTGGCTGGAGAAGACGTGGTCAAACTAGCAGAAAAGTATCCTGCTAATGACATTTTTAATGCTGACGAAACTGGTATTTTTTACAAAATGACTCCAAATAAAACTATTAAATTTCGAAGGAAAAAGTGTGTGGGTGGAAAACTTTCTAAAGAACGTGTAACAGTGTTAGTAGCTGAGAATACGAGTTGGAGAGGAAAAAGAAAGCTAGTCGTGTTTGGAAAATCAACTAACCCGCGATGTTTTGAGAACATCAAGCATTTGCCGGTCACTTACAAGTGAAGCAAGTCTGAGAGGAAAATATTACTTCTATTACTTCTATTACGTATATTCCAACTCTACGGAATATTGAATTTGCATTTATTTCAGCCAAAACAACAAGTGTATTACAGCCGATGGACCAGGGCGTAATAAAAAGTCTTAAAAGTGGATACAGGAAAATTTTTTTAATGGAAATGATCGTCCGAAGACAAATTTTCGATTAATATGCTAGATGCAGTCAACTTTGTTAGTAAAGCTTGGGTGACAGCAGCTATCTTCATGCACGACTTATTACCGAGACAGAATGCGAACAGGACTTGGAAGATAATCAGCCACTAAGCGAGTGGATAAAGCAGTTTCAAACAGCAATTACGTTTACAAGTGGGGAGTTGCAAGATTTTATAGTGATAGATCAGGATTTGCCTACAACAGCAGACTTGTCAGAGGAAGCCATATTACAGCAAGCAAGAAAGGGCGAGGAAGAGCACCAAGAGGAAGAAGAAGATGAAGAAGTTGATCTAGGACCACCACCAACCATTCAACAAGCCCTAAATTCAGTTAAGCTGCTAAAGACATTTTTTATGTATCATGGGGAAGATGCCCCCCTCGAGGAACTGGTGAAAATACAAGCCAAAATACGAGATGCATATTGGTATACTAAAAAAATTCAAAAGAAAATGACCGATTATTTGAAACATTAAATGTAGTTCTTAAATTTGTATAAGAAATGTTCCTAAGTAGATGTTAAAATATGTATATAAAATATTTCAACATTGCAGAACACATATGCGTATTTTTATTTTTCAACTGCTCATAACTCTTTATAATGAATAAATAATGTAATGCTAAATCATTATCCTTAATTAAAATTAATCTTATTTTTATAGAAGAGTTTTTGCACCTTTCTCTTGTTTCGGTACATCAAAATTGACAATTTAAAATATCTGGAAAAAATTGTATTTTTTTAAGTTGTTTTGTTATAATTTATATTTGGTTGCATTGTTAGTGAAAGCCCATCAGCGCGTGTTACAAAAAATGTGTTTGGCAACCGCGGCAAAAAATCAAAACACGACACTTGCGTCATCCGAGTACACACACATACACGGGATCTAATTAGTGCCATCCCTGACTGTCGACGAAATCGTGAAGCAATACACCGACCAATTCACCCAACGAGCTCTTATAACGTTACCTCAAATCGTTGTTTGCATCTGCCTTTGTTTTCTCAAGGCGAAACCGAATTACGAAGCGACGATTAATTTAGAAAAATGTCATTATAATAAATTGCACATTGTACGCGTTCGGGAACCTCCTTAGTCAACGGAGTGTGAACTTTAAAAATAAGCGATTTTAGAATCATCAGGTCGAACGCCGTACCGGAATAATACATGGGATTTCGAAGGCCTTTTAAATTACTCGTTCTCAATGGGATATCGGAAATGTTAAAAAGAAAAGAAGGAAAATATAATCGATTATGTGTTTTACTTCTTTTGTTTAAATAATACTTTTGAAAAATAGAGAAAAAGTGAAAAAAGAATGTAAAATATTAAAAAGAATGGTAAAAGCAAACACTATCGATGAAATCTTGCAAAACTTTACAGGTTTTGATCAACAAATATATAGCAAAAGAGGCCGGTGCTGTATTTTTCAAAGTTTATTGCGTATTATTTCGATGCTTAGATTAATTAACGTTTTGTTATTTTGATTATAATTAAAGACAATAAATGACGAATAAAACTATAAAAAAAAATTTTTTCAATTCAAAGATATTTAATTTATATCTATTAATAACGTAAATTTTGTAGGAATTTAGTAATTTTCGTTCGTAAAACGGGAAACGTAAAATATTGAGTTAATAATAATGAAAATTTTGCAAAACATTACAATAAAAGTTTACAAATAAATATATAATAAAAAAAGTTTCCTTTTCCGTTGTTGTGTCACTTTAAAGCGGCAATGGAATATGATAATTAAAATGATTAATTAAAGAAACGAACAATTTTGTTAGATAAATAACTAATAATTTTTAAAAAAGTTAGAAATAAGGGGAAGCATGTTGTGTGTATTAAATTATTATTTAAAAAGTTATGGTGTCACTAATATTTACTTTTGCTTTTTTTAATTATTTATCATTACCATCATCATCATATTAGAATTTAAAAAATACAAGAAATGAAGTAAAATATTGAATTATTAATAATGAAATGAATAGTAATAACAAAAATAATGTATAAAATTTTACATCAAAATTTATTCAATAAATATATATTAAAAAAAAACTTTCGACTGATGATGTGTCACATAAAGGCGGCAGTTGAAAATGATAATTAAAGATAATAAAAGAAAAATAAAAATTTCGAAAAAGGTATTTTTTTATTCATTGAATTATTAAACAAACATACCAGGTTTTTTAATAACAAAATGTAACATTAATCTGTTATTTTCGTGAATTTCGCAGATCTTAATAATTAAGCAAATCCAATCTATAAATAACTATCGGATAAAGGTTTCCTTTTGTTAAATCAAAGCATTTTTACTAAATAATATGTTTTAAAAGAGTTTGGTACAAGCAGCAAAAATTATTGTGCAGTGAATTTATTACTTTAAAACAGTAATACGTGTTTTCTTATTTATTCATTATATTTATAATTATTATGTTATAATTTAAAAAAAATACAAGGAAGAACGTTAAATGTTACTGAATTATTAATAATGAAAATTTTTCAAAACTTTACTACAAAATTTCAAAGCTTAACTTTCCATATTTGTGTCACATTAAAGCGCCAATGGAAAATGATAATTAAAGCCAATAAACCAACAATGAAACTGTGGGAAAAGGTATTTTTATACACTGAATTATTAAACAAGTAATGTTTTTTAATTTCAACATAAAGGGTTAAACTATAAATGTATATTATATTATTAAACGACACGACACGACAATTAAACAAATGCAATGAATAAATAAACAACTGTAAAGGTTTCGTTTAATTTTTACCGTTTTGTTGGATCAATCAAATAATTTTAAAAAAAATTAAAAGAATAGAAGAAAAAATTATTATGAATTGAACCATTGTTTTGAAAGTAATAGTAATTCTATTTTCGTATTTATTCATTGCATATGTGATTATTATAATGTAACAAAAAAAAGAAGAATGTAACGTATTGAATTATAAACAATTAACAACCTGAAAAACAAAATTTATTCAATAAATTGTATAATAAAATAAAAGTTTTCATTGTTATGTCACAATGGACAATGGAAAATAACCAATAAAAAATTACAATACTGAAAAAAGTTATTTTTTATGCATTGACTCATTTTATTACCAAAATTTAACAAAACTTTATTTTTTGAATAACGTAAATTTTGCGAATCTCGGAAACTAAGCAAATCTAATTTATAAATAAACAACTGAAAAAGGTTTCTTTTAATTTCTGTTCTTTCTTATTAACAGTAGTAATAATATATTTAAAGAAACAAAAAAATAAATAAGAACTTCGCTTTTCTCTTTGCTTTTAGTTGCTTTTGGCACATCACTATAATAGTGGCATGAATAAATAGAATAAAGAACAACCCTACTAAAAAAAAAGGTATTTTTTATGCATTAACTCTTTTTATTACCAAAATTTAACAAAACTTTGAAACTAAGCAAATCTAATGTATAAATAAATAAATGAAAAAGGATTCTTTTAATTTTGGTTGTTTCTTTACGTCGAAGTCTTAATAGTAGTAATAATGTTTTAAAGAAATAAAAAAATATATCAGAACTTCTCTTTTTTCTTGCTTTTCGTTTCTTTTGGCACATTACTATAATAATGGCCTGAATAAATAAAATAAAGCATAACCCTACTAAAAAAAGGTATATTTTATGCATTAACTCTTGTTATTACCAAAACGTAACAAAACTTTGTTCTTTGAACAATGTAAATTTTACGGATTTTGGAAATTAAGCAAATCTAATTTATAAATAAATAACTCAAAAAGGTTTCTTTTAATTTCCGTTGTTTCTTTAGGTCGAAGTATTAATAGTAGTAATAATATGTTTAAAGAAATTAAAAAATATATAAGAATTCCTCTTTTCTTCTTGCTTTTCGTTTCTTTTTTCACATTACTATAAAAATGGCATGAAAAATAAAATAAAGAATAACCCTACTAAAAAGGTATTTTTTATGCATTCTCTTTTTATTACCAAAATTTAACAAAACTTTGTTCTTTGAATAACGTCAATGTTACGGACTTTAGAAATTAAGCAAATCTAATTTATAAATAAATAACTCAAAAAGGTTGCTTTTAATTTGCGTTGTTTCTTTAGATCGAAGTCTTGATGGAAGTAATGATGTATTTAAAGAAATAAGAAAAAATGTCTTCTCTTCTTGCATTTATTTTAACGATAAACGATTGCTCGCAGGCCCTGAGGAAGAACACGTACCAAGAGGACCTCTACGAGATAGCGACGTACTATTTCGACGGAAACGGCAAAGCCATACGTCCCATGGTCGCCATATTGATGGCCCGCGCGATCAACTACCACATGTACAAAGAAAACAGGTAAACCCGGATTTATTTTTGAAAAGTTTGCATTTCCGGTCGGTCTTCGCCGCCGTCACTTCCGCGGCTTTGTTGGTGTACGTGAATTTTTCGAAATGCCCGAAGAAGGAGGTTGAATTAATTAAGATTTATGGGACGGGTGACCTTCGACCGACGGATCGCGATCCGTTTTCCGGATTTTTCGGTTATTTTTAAAAAATCCGACTCAACCTTGGCGGGAGCGGCTCTCTCGTGGTACTTAATATTTATAAAACGGCCGGCATTTTGAATTCGCTTATGGATTTTAACGCCGACGCGGGGAAGTCCACAGGACGACGTTGTACACCCACTAAATTATGTATGAGCCGTTGCGAATTTTGTAAAACGGCGCGTTATCGTACGAGTCGTTTTGGCCATATTAAACGTGGCCAGAATCAAGGTTGTCAGCAATAACGATTTGAAAAAGTCCAAGTTAAAAATTTTATTTTAATTTTAATTTTATCGATGCATTCATATTGATTTATTTAAATGGTATTTTTTATCATTTGCAAATAATTATTACATAAAAACGGATTTTTCATATTAAAAAAAGTGTATTATTATTATTATTAAACAACAACGCTTTCTATTTCTTCTTTGATGTAAATCAAGGTTTTAAAGAGAAGTAAAGATCACCCTCTTAAGTTATGATTTTCAAAAAGTTATAAATTATCTCAAATATATATATTTTTTGATTTTGTGCATTTTTTGCAATATTGTATTTTATTTTCCTATTAGCAAATTGTTATTTAAATTAATACTTTTCTACAATCAATTGTTGATTGATTGGTTTATTTTATTTATTTTAGAGTAAATTCTCTATTTACATTATTTTTATTATTTATTTTATTTCTTTGATGATCCTTTGGCAATCAATCAAATAATCATGTTTTTCCAATATTACATTTTATTTTTCTGTTATTAAATCGTGATATAAATTGATTTGGACTAATTTTTTATTAAACAGACATTGGCAACACTTATTTTTTTTATTTTCTCTGTTTAAATTATGATATTTTATTATGAATTGTCATTTATGAGTTGGCACCGATTATTTTTGCTTCATTTTATTGTATTTTCGTATCGTCGCGATGTAATTCATAATTTTAGAAAAATCGTAAATTTTTTTGGCTTTATATATCCTTTATGAGTATAAGTTTTTTTTTTTAATTGCCTTTTAATGCTTTAGCAATTGATCCTTTATATTATAGAGTGCGTAATATAAATGATCATTTATAAATAGAGTTAGGATTTTATGTAAAAAAAAACATCTTTTTTTTTATTAGGAATATCGACTCAATATTTCGGATATACCCGTTTTAGAAAAATTACATATTTCGCATCAAATGAAGCTTTAGTACATATTTTTAGTTGTTGTATATGTAGTCAATATTACAATATTGTGCACAACTTTAATTTACACTTATGTGAGGCGCTGTTAAGTGCAAATATTCCCCGTAATAAGGTACAGAACACTAAATTTAAACAGTTTTTAGGAAGATTTTGCAAAAAAATGTAGGTCATGAAAGTACACTGAGAAAAAATTATGTAAGTTCCATTTACAAAAATGTAATTCAAGACATAAAAGGTCATATTGAAAATCAGCACCTTTACATTATTGTAGACAAGACTTGCTTGTGGTCGCTATGTTGCGAATTTATTTTTGAATGAAAATGTTTTACCAAAATCTTTTTTAATAAGTACAAAACAGTTGGAAAAAACTAACAGTATAAAGTTTGTTCGACTTGTAAATGAAAGCTTAATGGCTTTTTTTGCTCCAGATATACTAGCAACCGATAAAATACTTCTTTTAGTCACCCACGCAGCAGCGTATATCACCAAAGCAGGGTTAAATTTAATTTATTTTATAAACGGGGAACGTGGTTAGACGCAATCTTATTTCACGCGAATCACTTTAATCAAATAAAAAAACATTGTATTAGACTTCAAATTCAGCTGAATCAATTAAAAAAACTAAAAATTTATATGAAAAATGTGAACTTATGGATCAGTTGACATATATCAAAGCTAATTTTAGTTTTTTGAGTGGATTTTTTAAAAAATTAGAAACCGAACAAATGTCTTTGCTAGAGTCAATAGTAGAAGAGTGCGAACATTTGTTGACAAAAGTTCCAAGCAGAATAGGGAAAATTATTTTTGATAAATTTAATAGCCTAACAGCATAAAATGAAGGATTTCATAAGTTACTTAAAATTTCAAAAAATTCTTTGATGTTAAACGTGGCCAGAACCATTTGGAACCAGAACATATTTAAATTCGCGCCGAAGTTCTCCAAGTGCAAAAGCATGTTAAGCGATAAAAGACAAAAATTTCGAACAGCATTTAATTGTCAATTGGTACAATAATAATAATAAGTCTGATTGTAAAACTAAATAATTTGTACTATAATGCTTTAATATAGATTAGGTAAATAGGTATTTACCATTAGATTATTATTAGCTAAAGTTACTCCTAATTAAGTATTATTTTTATGTCTAAAAACTGTAAATACAATGTTATAATTTTTTTCCTTTTTTCACTATCCTTTCCTTGGTTTTCAGTAAACAATATATGTAAAAAAAGGGCATAAAAGTACATAGATGATATTTGACATAGTTTTTGGAAAAAGCAGACATATTTATGCGTATATTTTAAGAATTTTGAGTGCATAAAAATCCGAATTCTATTTATAAGCCTCGTTGATTATTTTATAACACTTTTCGATCATTTTATTTTATTTTTCTATCATATTCATTTTTATATCGAGATTGTTAAAAAAACGCAACTATTTTTTATGTTTTTTATGGTCTTTGATGATCACTGGGATTGATTTTTTTAAGATATGCAGCCTTATCAGAACTTTTTAAATTTTCTTTAATAAAGGAAAAAGTTTGGAAAATCGAAAACCGACAAATTAGAAAGGGATACGCAAACGCAACCCATTAAAATATTTACGCGTAAAGTATGTGTCGGGAATAAATATGCACACTTAATTTTGCATACTAAGTCGGTGTGTAAAGTTACTAAGCATGAATGCTCTTACATATTACATTTGGTCGAAAGTACTTCCTAAACAAAAAAAAAAACATGCGTTCCTGGCTATTTTTTACGACCAGGAAAAAACATAAGTTGCTTTATTATAAAAACATCAGAGGCTTGCCGCAATTCGTTCCAGTATACAATCCAAGTATGGGCTTATTATTACGTGTTTACACAAAGAGGTGAAGGATTCCGACGAAGATGAAGCGAATAGAGATGAAGTAAAATTTCTATATACTTTACGCTTTTATAATAATTGCATGTAATCATAGGCCCATCAAGTCGATCCTTGAAGATTCGCGCGCGCGGCCGAGAGAAACCATTGACAGTTTGATAAATGTTGCCGTAATTACCGCAAACAAATCATTGCCAAAACCACCGAAATTGCCGGCAAAAAAAAAATTGTCAGATCAGAAGCGGGATGCCCGGCAGTCGAAAGACTACGAGAAGTGGAAACAGATGCCAAACGCGTAGCCGCTTAGTATTTGAACAGCAGGCAGCCTTAACAAAAGACGTCTAAATATTATACCCAAGTTGCCCAACGCTATCGTGTAGATGTTAATTTGTGGTCAATGACGACCGTGTCGCAATCGCCGATCGAAGTGGCAGGTTTTTACTTTCGAATGGCCTAAATTTGTCCACGATTAAAACAAAACGCCTTTGCTCTCCGCGTGAGACGAGATAACGTTTTAGCCGGATACTGTAAGACGCGACATTTTGCATTGGAAAGCGCTAATTTTCCGCCCAAAGCGAACACGCCTGTGAATAAAAAATTTTAAATATATTTTTCTTCTTACAATTTGTACCGTTAAGGCCTACCAGTAGTTAACTGTACAGGGTGGCCCGTTTATTATTTGATGAACCTTACCTTAGAATCTATAAAAAAATAAGACTTGACAAGCAACGAAAGTGGTTGGGATTCTTTTACACTTTTTAAATTGTTAATATTGTTATATATAATGGGTGTTTTTTTTTCGATGTATAGAAATTTAAGTTGGCATTACTGTTCAAGATGGCGATCGATTTAACAGCTGTCAAGTGATTTATTCTCAGTTTGGTTTGGCAATTCATCATGAATAGACTCACGCTTGAACAACGCTTGCAAATAGTGCAATTTTATTTCGAAAATGATGGTTCTGTCCGGAATACGTATCGCGCACTACGTTCATTTTATCGTCGAAAAAATCGCAGTTAATTCGATTAACCATGGAACGTTTTCGCACCACGTTTACTCTTATTGATAACTCGCATCCCCAAAGACGCCGTACGGTGCGTACAGAAGAAGCTATTGCTGCTGTAGAGCGTAGCATTGGGGAAGACAAGAATGAGTCCGTCCGCCATCGAGCACAAGAATTGGATCCGTGTCTATCCACTTTATGGAAGATTTTGCGGAAGGATCTTGGTTTACGTGCTTACAAAATCCAACTCGTGCAAGAATTGAAGCCAAACGATCATCAAGTAAGGCGTATATTCGTCGAATGGGCGCAAAACGAGATTGCCGTTGTTCCCGATTTTCATAAGCGTTGAAGCGGACTTCTGGTTGAATGGATACGTCAACAAACAAAACTGCCGCATTTGGAGCGAAGCTAATCCTCAAGTGTATGTCGAAACGCCGTTACATCCAGAAAAACTGACTGTTTGGTGCGCTTTATGGGCTGGTGGAATCATGGGTCCGTACTTCTTCAAAAACGATAATGGCCAGAACGTTACAGTCAATGGTGATCGGTATAGAGCTATGATTAATAACTCTAAGACGGAGCAACATATCACACAGCTCGTGCCACAATCGATTTATTGAAAGACCCGTTTGGTGACCGCCTAATTTCACGTTTTGGACATCTGAATTGGCCTCCAGGATCTTGTGATTTAACACCGCTAGACTACTTTCTGTGGGGCTATGTAAAGTCATTGGTCTATGCGGATAAGCCACAAACGCTTGACCAATTGGAAGACAACATTCGCCGTGTTATTGCCGATATACGGCCACAAATGTTGGAAAAAGTCATCGAAAATTGGACCTCCAAATTGGAGTACATCATCATATTTAAAATGTAATGCCACAAGATTATCTTTCGGATAAATAAAATTCATGTCAATCAAATCGTTGTTTTATTGCAACTTAAAGTTCTATACATCGAAAAAAAACACCCCTTACAAACAACTTTTTTAATTTGAATTGAATATCCACGGTTTGTGCCGATGTGTTCGATTGTTTTTTTTTCTCTCATTCATCTTTTTGGCCGATTAATTTCCGCATAGCATTTTTACAATGGAAAAAATCTTTTATTCCAAATATTTCTAAATCTACAAATTTTTCAAATAAACAACACCTTTTTTTAAAAGCTAAATACAAAAACGATTATGGTTACTTTTTGATCACCCTGTATTTTTTTAATAAATGTTAACAGAGGTCACTAAGGTAGATCCCCCTTCTATAAGGAAATTAACCCTAAATATCCAACAAAGCTTGCAGTCGGAGAAATCAGCAGATAGATTTAGACGTGCAAACGTCACTTTTGATATAACATATAGATAATACGATAATATAATATATAATATAAATACAACAAATAGTACAATTCATGAATGTCCATTAAAATATATGTATGCACAACGGTAGAATTTTTTTAAATTTTTTAAAAGTATAAGTAAATTGAAACAACTTTCGTCTGTAAGTTTTTTTGACATTTTTTATCGGTTCTGAGATATGTTGTCATTTTTTGTTATTAATTAATTCACAGAACACTGTCTTGCATTTTGTTTAATACTATATATTAATGTAAAAATGGATCCACTCAATGATTTTTATTAAAAATCATCATTGAATCGAAAAAATTAGTGGTCTTAGCCGTATTTCATAGGCGTAGTATATTGCTATTAGAAGAATAATACACTTGTTTTATTTAAAAAAAGAAATATTTGCCTTGGACCACACTACTGTTCATCTGACTACTCGGAACATGATGACTAAACTTTACAAATGAAGTTGTATTTTAAATAGTAGATTTTTTTGATCCTGCTATTTTTTACAAGTTATCCATTATTGTTATTCCTATGTAAGTTTTTATTTACTTAATCTTTGAATAATTAACATTTCAATTATGACATCTCTAGAATTATAATCATGCATAATTATTGTTATGACTTTCATTCAAAACACTCGTCTTTCTATTGTATGCAAATTAGTGGCACTGTAATTTAGGAACGATTCGAGGTGTGTAGGTCTTAGAAACTGAAATACGGAAAAATATCGTTGCTATTTACCCGAACTTACGATATAACCTTTTAAGTTATCTGTCCCCGTCATTCCAAATTTGCATTTTATTAAACTCTCGCATTAAGAAACGAAATATAGAGCGTATTAACTGATCAATTTTTTAATCGCTAATAATCTAGGCGCGAATTTTTGCTACAAGACTTGCAACCATTATTTTGCCACGTTGAATCTTTCCTCCAAGTTTCCGAATACCCTGTATAAATGATGAAATTCATAAATACTATAACCATCGTAATATAGAAACAACCAGACATTCCTAAACGTATGCATGCCCATATACCTGTGTACATTAATTTCCTAAGGTGCATCCACAGTACTAATAACTATTTTTGATTCCTAAGTTGAGTAAGCAAGAAATTTCATCATCGGCATCAAGATCATGTCAGAAAAATTGACTTTTTTATTGCCAACGTACAGGGTAAAGCGCGATCTACGGTTAGTGCTTTTGAGGGTGCTCAGACCATTTTTTCTTTTTTTATTTATTTAATTATTTATTTCGTTGTATGGAACACACGCTCGTCCGCCACTTTTTATTTAACGCGCCACGCAGCGTATCAGTACTAAGATCGCGTACGGAGATAAGACCGGTTGACAACAAAAAAAATCCGATTTATGCGTCATTGTACCCGCGTTGCAAATGAATGAAACGATGAGCGGCTGGCGACCTTGAACGTGGGCGTGACTCCGTTTTTTTTTTTTGAAACTTCTTTTCTTTTCCAGCGGACTGCTTCCGGCCCAGAGGGAAGTGGCCATGATTTCGGAGATGATCCACACCGCGTCCCTGGTCCACGACGACGTCATCGACCAGTCGGACTTCCGACGCGGCAAGCCTAGCGTCAATGTCAGGTGGAACCACAAAAAGGTATATTCGGACCAGAAATATAGTGCTTTTACAATCGGCCCCGTGATTAGCTTTGCCTGCTGTTATTACTTCAAACTGCAGCCCTGCCGGGCAGACCCTTACCCGTAACCATTCCGTCCTAGGAATTTATCTACCTACACTAACAAGCCGGGTATAAGTATATTTTCAATCTTTTTCGTCGAGCAATTTTTGAAACCTGTGCATAAAAAAATTAGTACAAAGTAACAATTTATTCCGTTCATTTTCATTACATTTCTACATAGTATCACCATTAATACACAAAATATTAAATATAATAATAATAAAGTATCAGTCACTTGAAAAATCGCCACTATCGCTGCTGTCGTCAGCTTGTTCACCGCCACTAATCGTTCTCGATAAATATTTTCTGTGTTTTAGTACTCGTTTTTCACAGTTAGACAGACCAGCTTTGTTTATGGTACTATTACTAAATTTTGGTGCAGTGTTGTTTCTTCTTATATGCGCTTTCAACTCAGACCAAATCATGTTAATTGGGTTAAATGCGTAATGTTAATGGGGGTATTTTCAAGATTTCATCGATTTTGTAGTCTTAATTAAAATAATTCCAGAAGTTGTTTTTTCGTATAGCTCTCTTCAAAATATATAACATTTTCGTACAGAAATTCTTTAATTTCTTCTTTATTTGAAGAAGTATTTTTCTAATTTGTGTTGAATGATACCAGGTATTATCCAACACAATAATGGTGTCAACAGTCCTCAAATATTTCCGCGGTCATGTTTTCACGGTAATCCACACTTGAATCTTTGACGTTTTTGGCAGACAAAAATAAGGCATCTTCCATCCAACCATTTTTGTACCCAGCATGAATCATGATTATGCGTTTCCATCCCTTTTTTACTGTAACGTGAATGTCGAACCACGTTTTGTCTAAATATACTCCAAACGTGTCTTTCAATAAATCGATCAGACATCATGGTTATTCAATTCAGGAATGAAAGGGTTAGTAATCATAGCTCTATACCGATCATCATTGACTGTAACGTTCTGGCCATCATCGTTTTTGAAGAATTACGGACCAATGATTCCACCAGCCCATAAAGCGCACCAAACAGTCAGTTTTTCTGGATGTAACGGTGTTTCGACATACACTTGAGGATTAGCTTCGCTCCAAATGCGGCAGTTTTGTTTGTTGACGTGGCCATTCAACCAGAAGTGCGCTTCAACGCTTATGAAAATCGGGAACAACGGCAATCTCGTTTTGGGCCCATTCGACGAACCTACGCCTTACTTGATGATCGTTTGACTTCAATTCTTGCACGAGTTGGATTTTGTAAGCACGTAAACCAAGATCCTTCCGCAAAATCTTCCATAAAGTGGATGGACACAGATCCAATTCTTGTGCTCGATGGCGGACGGACTCATTCGGGTCTTCTTCAATGCTACGCTCTACAGCAGCAATAGCTTCTTCTGTACGCATCGTACGGCGTCTCTGGGGATGCGAGTTATCAATAAGAGTAAACGTGGTGCGAAAACGTTCCACGGATAATCGAATTAACTGCTGTGATTTACGATTTTGTAGACGATAAAATGGACGTAGGAAATAAAATTACACTATTTGTAAGCGTTGTTCAGGCGTAAGTCTATTCATGATGAATTGCCAAACCAAACTGAGAATAAATCACTTGACAGCTGTTAAATCGATCGCCATCTTGAACAGTAATGCCAACTTAAAGTTCTATACATCGAAAAAAAAACACCCATTATATACGAACATATTGCAATTTAGATTAAACTCTTAAGAACGATACATATCACCTGACGTTAAAATAAATTCTTCTACGTGTTCGAAAATACCCCGTAGCATCAGCGCTTAATCAAATTTAAAACGGTCCCATTTACGTTTCAAATAAAAATTTCAAGTTCTACAAATATTCGTTACGGTCCACCTCAAGCAAGACCCAATTAGTGCATAATAAACATCTGTTGGGATGGGCGAAGGTCTGCGGTTAAGGTACTGTAAGATACTTGAAACGTCAAAGCAATAAATGCGCTATATTTTTGGTCGTATTATAAGGCTGTTTAAAATCTCCGCCCGGTTCAAAATTTTAACACTTCGCGACCAATCACGGTTGCGTTCCAAATTCGAACCCGCGATTTACCGCAAAACAGACGGCCGGTAATAATAACAATAATTGATGTTAAATAAACGCTTTACTTGATAAAAATTAAGTTGAATGTCACTTGCGAAATGAGCGTAATTACGGTTTGCGTGCGGGATCAACGCCCTAGACACCCGTAAGGCCGTTCCGAATTGTGCAAGAATAAGTAATGGCCACCTAGGTAATTAATAACGAAAACGCGCGAAGTTCATTACGTATCTCGTTTGTGGCACGAAGGCGTACGCGGCGGTCGAAAAAAATTACCCGGACTGCGCCGATGGAGCCGCAGCCACTTGGAGATTTTTTTTTTATCGAAATCCACTCGCAAAGGACAAGCCTATGGTGCACTAGGTGACACTGCGAGGAGGAGAAGAAAGGTGTTTATTGACTGCTCTTTTGAACCTCTGGAAGAGAATTCCATAAGCTTTGTACTCGCCAGAAGTATGAGTTTTAGTATACTGACATTCGCGGGGTTTCGAGCCGCAAGCGATGTGCTGGTGCTGCCTGGCGAGTAGAACCACCAAACCTCGCTCTTGGTGGAATGAGCTCAGTAAGCTGGTCGGAACCTTGCCCATGAAAGTATCTATAGAACAAAGATAAATCGCCAACCCTTCTTCTATGACTGAGTGATTGCAGGGAGCCGGTCAGTGCCGGATCGTCGACAAGACGCACAGCTCTTCTCTGAATGGAGTCCAAAATTTCAAAGTATGCTTAGGGGCTGAGCTCCAAATATGAGAACAACACTCCATAACTTGTGCTTTGTGGAGAGTAAGAAGCTGTGCAGGCGTGAAATATCTTTTAGCACGGAACAGAAAGCCCAATCTCTGGGCGGCGATCTTTGCCAAACCAACGACGTGCTCGTGCCAGGAGAAATTAGTGCTCGCATTAACTCCCAGGAGAGACAGGGAAGACGACAGAGGCAAACTGTTCCCATCCATGACAATGCCGGATTCCTGCTCATTTATGACTTTCCGAGTGAAAGTGCATACCTGGGTCTTCTTAGCATTAAATTCAACCAGGTTCTTTCGACCCCACATCAGTATTTCCTCCAGATCGTTATTTATTGACCCAATTTGGTGTTGTCTTCGTTGAATTAAGGAAGCAGATGTTAAGGGCTTGTTGGATGAAAAGGAAGAGACAAGGCTGCTGTCGTCGGCATAGCTATAGATGGGATTGCTTGTGACGAAAAGTAGATGTGTAAAAGGAATGATGTAGGTGACAGAACAGATCCCTGAGGCACTCCAGCGCTAATGGTGTGTGTATTAGAAGATACTCCATCCACCACGAGGGAGAGAGATCTACCATTCAAGAAATCAGATATCCATTCGCAAAGTGCCGGTGGTTGCCCGTATGCCCGCAACTTTTTCAAGAGTGACCGATGCCATACGCGGTCAAAAGCCTTCGAGATATCTAGCGCAACCACCTTCGACTCTCCAAATCCCTCCATAACCGTATTCCAAACATGAGTGAAGTAGGCCAGTAGATCACCAGCTTATGGCGAAAGCCATATTGTTTGTCAGATATTATTTTATTGGTCTCTAGATATTTTAGGATCTCAACATTAATGTTGTTTTCTTTCGCTTTTTGGGCACGGGCTGCACTCTTGCAGTCTTGCAGATAGTAGGACAGATTCCCTGTCTGTGTAATATCGTAAAAAGTTTACAGAAGACGGGAGTTAGTTCAGTGGCGCAAAACAAGAACTGGAATGCCATCTGGGCCGGAAGCCTTAGTAATATCCAGGTCTGAAAACAACTTCTGGCATAGTTGTATCAACTCTAGGGATACTTGGAGGTTCATTTCCCTGATCATCTAAGGTGGAACCGAAGGTGGGAATGTTGAGGTTGTAAAATTTTTCGATCCACTCGGACATTGGAGCAATCGGGTATAGACACATACTCCCCTTTTAAATCTGAATTTGTTGTGGAATTCGTACTTTGGTAGTTGAAGATGGGGGCGATTGGTCGAAGCCTTAAGTTGTGTCTCAGATAGCGTGAGAATATGGGGCCTCTGTTGCTGGAGATGTTGATGTACTGCATTAATGTTGGTATTGAGGCCCCTGATGTTGCAGAAGTCGATCTTTAATTTGTCGTGAGGAGCCCCCTCGACCAGTCTCCACCCGGACATCCGAATGGGAGACTAGTTTACGTCCGGAATTTTTTGGTCTGGAAGGGATCATCATACTTTGGTGTCCAAAAGCACGCCTACCCCTGAGGTTCTTCGAGAAGGCGTCGAAAAAAAGGATCGTTTTCTAATACTTTTTATACGGTTAAGATGGTGTCTAAAAATAGCGCGTATGCTTCGTAAAGGCGTTCAAGAAAACGACCTTGGTATCGTTCAACATGTCTACGACGTCCAGGAGCGGGGCTGATTCTTTGAAAGAGAGTCCAAAAAAAACGACATCGTTCTTTCTTAAGAAAGTGACCTTTATTTTAACCAAGGATTCCAAAAATGGCGATATATACATTTAAAGTTGATTTCGGAGGGGACACTTTTGGGACACGCTACCATAATATTTGAAATCTTCAGGAGAGTCGAAGAACCTTTTGTGCGAAACTTTTTTTCATATCTCCTATGGGTTTCCGGATCCTATCGTGGGTCGTTTTGTTTGGCACACGGTGTACGTCTCATTAAAAAAAATCTCTTGAAAAATTTAATGGGGTCGCGGCCCTTTTACTTACGTTTTCCGACTTCCGCCATACCGCAAGGAACGGACGATCAATGGTTGGTTTTAACCTTGATCGGAGCGCTTTAAGCTGAGGTCAAATATTCAAATCGCGAGTTTTTATCGGTTTTTCAATTTTTAAATAAATATTTAAACTGTCGTTCGGATTTGACGCGTCCGAGAAGACAAAAGTCGGACGAGCAGGTGGCGGGCTTACGTCATTTTCGATTTTGCAACCGATTCGCATCGCGTTGGGGAATTGAAAAGCTCGTCACACTACAGGAAGGTGCGAAAACGTCGTCGCTTTAATTTTCGACTCGCGTTTTCTGCGTTAGATAATAACGCGTCTGAAAATTCGCGTTCGCCTCGGATTATATTATGTAATCCAAATACCCGTTTGCTAATTTTAGGTAATTTCGGAATCCGGTTTAGGATAAGTCGGATTTTTATAGCCAGGTGTTGATAAAAGTGAATAATTCCATAAATTTCGATCCTAAATATTTTAACTAAAATAAATTATTACGAGACTAATTGATATGATCCATATGATGTTTTTTTTCGATGTATGGAACTTTAAGTTGCAATAAAACAACCACGGATTATTCGATTGACATGAATTTTATTTATCCGAAAGATAATCTTGTGGCATTACATTTTAAATATGATTTCTGGCATATGACCGCCACGGCTGGCGCGGATGTACTCCAATTTGGAGGTCCAATTTTCGATGACTTTTTCCCACATTTGTGGCCGTATATCGGCAATAACACGGCGAATGTTGTCTTCCAAATGGTTAAGCGTTTGTGGCTTATCCGCATAGACCAATGACTTTACATAGCCCCACAGAAAGTAGTCTAGCGGTGTTAAATCACAAGATCCTGAAGGCCAATTCAGATGTCCAAAACGTAAAATTAGGCGGTCACCAAACGCGTCTTTCAATAAATCGATTGTGGCACGAGCTGTGTGACATGTTGCGCCGTCTTGTTGAAACCACATCTCCTGGACATTATAGTTATTCAATTCAGGAATGAAAGAGTTAGTAATCATAGCTCTATACCGATCAGCATTGACTGTAACGTTCTGGCCGTCATCGTTTTTGAAGAATTACGGACCAATGATTCCACCAGCCCATAAAGCGCACCAAACAGTCAGTTTTTCTGGATGTAACGGTGTTTCGACATACACTTGAGGATTAGGTTCGCTCCAAATGCCGCAGTTTTGTTTGTTGACGTAGCCATTCAACCAGAAGTGCGCTTCATCGCTAAACAAAATTCGGGAACAACGGCAATCTCGTTTTGTGTCCATTCGACGGATCTACGCCTTACTTGATGATCGTTTGGCTTCAATTCTTGCAGGAGTTGGATTTTGTAAGCACGTAAACCAAGATCCTTCCGCAAAATCTTCCATAAAGTGGATGGACACGGATCCAATTCCTGTGCTCGATGGCGGACGGACTCATTCGGGCCTTCCTCAATGCTACGCTCTACAGCAGCAATAGCTTCTTCTGTACGCACCGTACGGCGTCTCTGGGGATGCGAATTATCAATAAGAATAAACGTGGTGCGAAAACGTTCCATGGTTAATCGAATTAACTGCGATTTTTTCGACGATAAAATTTACGTAGTGCGCGATACGTATTCCGCACGGTACCATCATTTTTGAAATAAAATTGCACTATTTGCAAGAGCTGTTCAGGTGTGAGTCTATTCATGATGAATTGCCAAACCAAACTGAGAATAAATCACTTGACAGCTGTTAAATCGGTCGCGATCTTGAACAGTAATGCCAACTTAAAGTTCTATACATCGAAAAAAACACCCTATATCTGTATGCGTGCCGTGAACAACATCGATAGGGCTCTGCATAGCATTAATAACAAGATTGCTTTCGCGCGAAACAGCTTTTTCTTTTAAAAGGAAAGAGATTCGCGGATTCTTGTCCTAGAGGGGCGCATTGTTTTTCTATCGTGCTCCTGCGGACCACTATGGAACTTTCGCAAAATCGATGTAATTTTATTGTGCATACACGCGGTGATCATTTCTGTACCAACGGCGATCCCATAGGACCTACCGTTACCGAGACACAAAATTTTTATACGAGCGTAGATACTTTCGAAAAATTCGATTTCATCGATTTTCGAAAGTAACAAGAGCTTCGCGGTTTATTGTGGTAAATAAACGCATCGCTTTTCTATCGTGCTCCTGCGGACCACTTGCGCAAAATCTATGTAATTTTATTGTGCATACACCCTGTATAAAGTGTCTTTCAGGTCTCGCCGAACTTCAAAGTTACGGCAAACTTTGTTAAATAATTAAATTTGTACAAATAATAGCGTTGCCGCGTTTCAAATATTTCGTGCGCAATGTATGAAACTCTCTCTCGACACATTTTACGATGCTGTTCAAATGAAATAAACGGACCTTTAGCAGCTTTTCATTTATCGGCAATAATTTACCTTACGGAAATGTTTAGAATGTTTTAGATTTTTTTTCATAAACGTCAGACCCTGTATACGATTGCTGGGTGTGTTATTGCACTGGAATAATGGCGGGGTGGGGGGGATTACTTCCGTCGTAATTTTCTTTTTTGCCGCCCGCGAGAGACGGGTTGGGCAACCGAGAAAAAAAACAACATTCGCCACGCCATTTTAACCGCGCCGCCGACCGAATTGGGTCAGGATATTTGGCAACGGCGCCGTAATAATTGTACTCCGCGTTAATTTTCGCAAAGTGTTAGAAGCGTGCAATTGTTTGCGATTAATTAAAATATGTAGTCGACGCACGTTTCGGCAAGAGGTGTTGCTCAAATTAAAAATCTATAAATTATTAGGCGAGATTTCCCGCGGTCCTTGGGCATTATTATTGCATTATTTTTAAACTAAACTAAAGCAAAATAAATAAGAACTGATAGTTCAGATTTTCACGAAATGGTTTATATTCACATGACAATTGTTTCGACAACACCGTGACTTTATCAAATGTAATATTTACAAATTACCTGCTACTATATATACCGAAAAATGACAATAAAACCTTAATTAAGGTTGTTATGAGAATTTAAGTTCAATAATGGAGAGGTATTTGAATCTAATTGATCGTTAACCAATACATTTGAATGTCTCATTTTGTTAATCTCCATGGCTTCCAATAAATTTTAAAAAATTAAAAAGAAAAAAAAAAACAAAAAATTGTTCTTTTCCAGAGTAAATTAGTAACCGCCAATTTAAAAATATGGCTAATTGATCCATACAGCGTCATAGGCCACATCAACAGCTACATTTTTGTATTTGCGGTTTTTGTCTATCACACACGCTGCTCGAGATATTTGAAAAAATCCATATGCAAATCACTATTCCGTGGGCTCAGTGAGGGCGCGATGACGTCATTGATTATTACGATGCACTGCATGGTTTCAGACAAAACTTATTTTCTCGGAAACCATTTACTATTTTGGAAAAATTCTTAGACCAGGAAACGTGGAAGATTCAGGGTTATAATCCGTATATGTACAGGGTGTGTCGTGGGTGGGTAAAAAAAATCTAAAAGACCCTGAAAATTGCCGTTTTCGTCGATAAATTGTTAGTCGTAAATGAAAAACTATAAAACATGGGATAATTTGGTTTAAACACGGTCGTAAACCGTATCGAGAGAGGTTCAGGTTTCGTCTATCATACAGGGCGCGCGAGAATTTCGAATAATGTCATTAGAAATCGTTATTACTTGCGTATTTTTTCATATCTGTCAAAGTTTGTCGTGACTTTGACATTCGGCGATACGTGAAAGATGCTGTATACAGTTCCATAGTGGTCCGCAGGAGTACCATAGAAAAGCTAGCAGAAGAAAACGCGAAACGACTACGAACTTGCCCCGCCCAGTGACAATTTATCGAAAGCAATCTTGTTTAATAAGTCCTCTACTGATGAAAGGTTCACACCCATTTTTCACGACCTGTAAAAAGGATTATTGACCACTGCCATAAACGGTCAACACTCAAGGAATATATCAGAAATAAAGTAACATACCCGGCCCACTCCTGCCTTGTCACTCAAGTAAGAATAATTTTTTATTAACGCCTGTAACCTAATGACAATAGGTAATAACGTCGTTAAAGTTTTATCGGGTAGGTTCACTCGAACGCCAACACGATGAAGATTGAGACGGACTATACGTGGCGACAGATATCTATCAGATTGATAGGTCGAACAGCTTGTGGGCTACAGTCATATCATCCTCGATTCGCATTGCCATTAACTAACAGGACGGGTTTCACTGAAGTCAGAAGTGGGATCGGGTCGTTTTTGGTTAGTTTATGGCCTGCTAGGACAAACTGTCACCTGTAGTTTTTGTTTGTTTGTTTTTTTTTTAATGTGAACGCCAGATTCGTAACGTACTACAACCTGTCGCGTTACTAAAAACCATCTTCGTGCCAAATCACTCTTCATTTTTTAAGAATTTTGGGAATAGCGGCTCGGCAACGTTATGATTTTTTTCGAACGCTCTGTACTGGTGCGCGACGTGATGGCATTGACCGACATATTTTTAAAGAATTTTGGGAATACGTAATCGCGAAGAAGAAGAAAAACTCGACGCGTTATAGCGAAAACTTTCACTGAAAAAATCCGATGTTGCGTAAAAGCTTGTCCACCTGTCGTCGTCGTAGTCGTTTTGCTTCTTCTATTACGACAATAAGCGGAGAACGAAAATTGAATCTGATCGGAATACGACATCTTGACCGTCGCCGTAGATTTATATATATATATATATATATATATATATATATATATATATATATATATATATATATATATATATATATATATATATATATATATATATATATATATATATATATATATTGTAACGCACGTTCGTAGGTAACGATGGCAGGCGATTTCATACTGGCCGTGGCGTCCATCATGATCGCCAGATTGAGGCACGACGACGTCACCCTAGTCCTTAGCCAGGTAGTGTCCGACCTAGTCCAAGGAGAGTTCATGCAGTTGGGATCGAAAGAGACGGAGAACGAACGATTTGCTCACTATTTAACGAAAACGTATCGGAAAACCGCGTCGCTGATCGCAAACTCCGTCAAGTCGGTGAGTTCGGTTCGATTTTCGCGCCTTTTCTTCTTCTTCTTTACGGCCCAGGGCCGGTCGGCCAACCGCGTTGTTTTTGATACAGGTGGCGCTGCTGGCCGGGGCGGGTGAACAACTGTCCGACCTGACGTACCAGTACGGGCGCAACCTTGGGCTCGCCTTTCAACTGGTGGACGATCTGCTGGACTTTGTATCGTCGTCGGCCGCCATGGGCAAACCGACCGCCGCCGACCTCAAACTGGGCCTCGCCACAGCCCCTGTGCTCTTCGCTTGTGAAAAGGTCACTACATATTAATAATAATAATATCTTTATTATCCCACATATTTAGAATACAATCAAATTGTATTATGGATTTCGTCAACTAGGTCAATATAGATCATGCAAATGAGGCAGAAAATTACGTTAAAATTTTGTATAATAAAAATATATCACAGAGCACAACAATACATTGATGACAAACATTAATAGGTAAAATAGTCGTTTAAACCATAAAAACAGTTTTCTAGGAGGAAAAACTTTAGTTTGGATTTAAAAATGTTTACATTATTACTGCGCTCCGGGGACAGTCTATTGTAGATTCTAATATAGGTGTTCGTAAAATATTTTCTTGAAAATTCTAGTCTATTTTTTTTTTATGAAGAAACAGTCTTTATAGATAGGGTTTCGTAGAGCTCTAGTCTTAAAAATTTAGCGTGCCCGACCAGACATTCACAGAGAGATCTGTTTTGTTTTGTGGGCATTTCAATATCAGTACATTTGTTTTTTGAACATCAAAAAAGAGTTCTTTCCAGCTATTTACAGTACAGGTGTTGAATTAATTCTGTCTTGAAGAGTTTGCTAACAGTGTGAGGAGACCAAACTTGAACAGTCGTCAGTGAACTCTGATAGACCCAAACTAGGTAGTTGAGCAGAAAGGTCATTGATAAAAAGGATAAATAAAACAGGACCAAACACAGTACCTTGCGGTACGTCTCTATCTATGGATTGGACTTGAAATTTTTTAATTTCATACAAGTTGCTCCTCTCATGCCTTATTTCAACATACTGCCTACGATTTGTTAAGAACGATCTGAACCAGTTCAGAGCTATTCCACGAATTCCGTATTGTTCCATCCTATTCAAAAGAATTTTGTGGTTCATACAGTCAAACGCCCTGCTAAGATCACAAAATACTACATACATACAAACATTACTATACTCTGCTATACTCTATGCACCATTTTTTAAAAACGACCACTAGGAGAGATCGGTGACGGTTGTAACAAAAATCAAAACTTAATTTTTTTATCCAATATTTACATTTATCTCAATTATATGTATTCCAGTGAATCCGCATTTGTGAGTAGCACAATGTTTTTTAAGTTTTGAAAACCGAAAAGCATTTTATAAAAATAATATCAAAGACGCCAGTGACAAGTGTTACAAATGACACCCAAAAGGTGTCACTTGTAACATATGTAGATGCCGGTTGTGACATAAGAACATTTATAAAAAGCAACGAAAATAAAGATAATTAGATTAGATAGGTAGATTGGCAAATAAATAAAAAGAAACATATAACCATATTTAAAGAAGAAATAAAAAACATAAACCCAACAAAGTTTGTTGTTGTAGGATTCAAGACAGAGTCTCTTCATTTTCTGATGATGACGATGTGTCTTTGTTCAAAACTTTTTGTTTCTTCTTACCTTTGTTTTTGTTCCCATCACTTTTGATACCTTTTGTAATCTTTTTGTTAGTCCGATCTTCAATTAGCATATTTTCAGGAGTGGTCAGAATGGAAGTCTTGCTCCTTTGTCTTCCAGGGCCTTTGGGCTTTTGTCTGTCGCTTCATAAAGTTTTTAAGTAGCGGAGTAAAGAGACATGACAAATGGCATATTGTCTTGCAGCAAATCTTACGGAAACATTCTCGTTCATTGGCAGCTGCTTGGTATATGTCTTGCGGAATTTCCCCTCTTTTTGTTTTCGTTATTCTTGGTTTCATATTTATTTCAGAATTGCCTAAAACCAAAAATTTGGTCAAAACTGTATTTTATGCTATGGTGTCGGTCGTAACATGTTACAACCATCACCCATGAGTATGTTACAACCGAAACCAACAATAAGCAATAAATTGTTCGAAAATGAACATTTTCATATTGGATTATGTAGACAAAAACATGCTGGTTCGTTGATTCAATTGGCATAAACAAACAATATGTAAAGGACAAACGGCATAAGCTAGCTAAAAAGGAAAAAATATTTATTTTCGGGTCAAAAATTAATTTTCTTCTCTCCGATCTTCTCTGGTGCAAGCGTTGCTGAATACTAACAAGATTGCTGGTAAATATTAAAATTTTTACAAATAACACGGATTTCCAGTGATATTTTTTGGATCTCCCATTTCTCATGGTATATGAATTTTTCCAATAAAGCAAATGGTTTTGGAAAAAATACTTGTTTTCTGAAACCATGCAGCATGTCGTGATAGTAAATGACGTCATCGTGTCGAGATTGGGGGCGAGAAATGGTGATTTTTTTTTCGATTTTTTCAAACATGTCGGAACAGGGTATGCGATAGACGAAAACCGCAAATACAAAAATTGTAACTCTTGTTGCATTGTACAATATCATTTTTCATGATTTTCATTTTTCATGAATTTTTCAGATTTTTGTCTATAATTGAAAAACCCGTACATATTCGAAAAAATACTTTAATTAGAAGTAATAGTACCGAATCTTCCGCGTCTCTTGTTAAAAGAATTTTGCCGATCAAGTTAATAGTTTTCCAGAAATATTGTTTTTTCTAGAAGAAAAAATAACAAAAACAAAAATTTCAAAAATAAAAAAAAACTAAGCAAGCCTTGATTGCTCCAAGTTTCTACGGCTTAGATGTGGGTGTGGGCTTTCACTTCTCTGCTAAATTTGAAGTCGATCGATGCAAAGGTTTTAGCATTCCATACAGAAGAAAATGACAGCTGAAATACAGCCTTCTAGTTATGGCAAATGATCCTTATAAGGGAAACCCAATTTTCAGTTTTTTCCAATTTGCCGGCACACCCTGTACATTTTTAAAAAATCATCAAGGATAAATGATTTTGGTCAAGATCTCGCGCATCTTCTGGTTCAAGAATTTTTTCGATCGCGTATATAGTTTTTGAGAAATATTTCCCGACCCCCCCACCCCCAATTTCAATAGGTTCCATTAGGGGACCACACGCTTTTTCCTTGCCAAATATGAAGTCGATAGTTTCAAATTTCGGACACTTATAGTGTTTCATAGCGATGTACGAGAAACAGATGAAAATGGTAAAAAAAGACAGATGGTAATTTCCAATCGCAGCCATTTTGTATGGGCATATGTCTCGTGGTCAGTTTAATAAGAGCAAAACTTCGGCTCCCTCACTCAAACCGTTCGGAAGTTATTCGCGTTTTTATGGAGCGTCGACAGAGAACAGAGAACAAAGAACGGAGAACAGACAAAAAATTAAAACGTTTATTTTTCGACGCCGATTCCATCTTTACCAACGGCGACGCTGTACGGCGCCGAGATGTAGGTTTCGTTGCCAAGCGAATATACTTTCGAAAAATAACAAAAAAGTAACAAGCAAGATGGCGAGTGTCGTTAGACACACGTTTGATGTAGATGGCGCGCTTATAAACATTCAAACTGCCGCAATAGGCCGAATGTTACAACAGACACTTTGTTTTCAAAAGATTGTTACATGTCATTTAGGAACACTGTGTTTTATTTATGGTGTTTCAGTATCCGGAACTGAACCCGATGATAATGAGACGGTTCCAAGAGCCGGGCGACGTGGAGAAAGCGTTCGAGCTGGTGCACAAGTCACGGGGCCTGGAGCAGACCCAGTTTTTGGCGAAGCAACACTGCGAAGAGGCGATCCGGATAGCCAGTCAGCTGAAGGAGAGCCCATACCAGAAGGGACTGGTGGTTGCTGCCGATTTCGTACTCAACCGCATGAAGTAGCGCAGACTCTTAACCAGTTTTATTTATATGTAGAGGAACATTTTAGTTTTTGTTATATTTGGTGTAGCAGTGCGGCTCGTCCGACCATTCCCGGGTACACCGTGCGCCAAATACGATCTGGAAACCCATAGGAGACGCGAAAAAAAGTTTCGTACAAAAGTTTCTTGGACTCTCTTGAAGCTTTAAAAAAATTTTCTATAGTTTAGACAGAAATTGAGGTTAAGTGTTTAAACACAGCACTATTCAATCAGTTTAACAGCTTATACAGGGTGTCCCAAATAGGTGGTACCGTTTAGTGACAATTTTGAATTTTTTCTAATGGAACACACTATATATTTCGACGTTTTTGGAATCATTCATTAAAATAAAGGTCACTTTCTTTAGAAATTCCTATTCGAATTTTTCACAGTTCAGACAGAAATTGAGGTTGTTTTTTTTCATACTTTGATTGCCCCCTATAAAATTGTGTTGTGACGCTACTGATCTAGGTATTGCAACGAAAATTTAACCGCAGACTAAGGAGATGATGCACTACTCAATCAGTTCGACAGATGCGCCTCAGCTTATACAGGGTGTCCCAAATAGGTGGTACCGTTTAGTGACAATTTTGAATTTTTTCTAATGGAACACACTATATATTTCGACGTTTTTGGAATTATTCATTAAAATAAAGGTCACTTTCTTTAGAAATTCCTATTCGAATTTTTCACAGTTCAGACAGAAATTGAGGTTATGTTTTTTTTCATACTTTGATTGCCCCCTATAAAATTGTGTTGTGACGCTACTGATCTAGGTATTGCAACGAAAATTTAACCACAGACTAAGGAAATGATGCACTACTCAATCAGTTCGACAGATGCGCCTCAGCTTATACAGGGTGTCCCAAATAGGTGGTACCGTTTCGGCGCATTCAATTAACAATCCCCAATATTTTTATTCAGAGATCAATTCTGGGCCGAAAAATAAGGTAAAATTGTAATTTACTTACTTTTTGAGATATCCAAGGTTTAAGGTAACAGTCGTATAAATTCTTGAATTTAAAGCAGCATTAGGTCAATTGTTGTCAATATTAGGTATTTTTTTAAATAACAAAAACATGATACCACTTCTTTTAAAGATGTAATACTCTAGATATATTGCTAACAATACAGATTTAATAAAACTTCAGAATTCATATTTAAAGAATCATTTAATAGTTATTACTAGCTTGATTGAAAACACCCAATAACAAAAATAAATAATTAACTAATTAACCAACCAAGGTAACAAATTTCAATAAATAAATCCATAAAAAAAAGTTAACTAAAAAGAGTTCGTTAATTCGGTCCATGAAGTTTAGTTAAAAATACAAAATACAACAAAGAAATATCGAAAGATTTAAAAATGTATGACGTGACAATCTTTTTTTTTTGACGCATTATGGTATAAACGAACTTTGACATTTCTGTTTCATTTTGTTATTCCATAGTTCATAGTTGTCAAATTTTTTGTTAGTATATTATTTAGTATTTTATTTGTATTTTAAATAAGTTATATTTTTTTGGTTAATCTAAAAACCTTAATTATTTATTTTTGTTATTAGGTATTTTCAATCAAGCTAGATAATTACCTATTGAATGTTTCTTTAAATATCAATTCTGAAGTTTTATTAAATCTGTTAAAATATGTAGTATAGAGTCGATTTTTTTTTCAAAATTTCCACGAATTAATGGACACCCTGTATTGTTATCATTAGGTCTTATTCGTATATCTCGAGTATTATATCTTTAAAAGAAATGTCTTTGCTATTTATATTGCCAACAAGTGACCTAATGTGGGCAGCTTTAAATACGGGTGTTATCTTAAACCTCGAATATCTCAAAAAGTAAGTAAAAGTTATATATAAGATAAACACAAACTTACCTTATTTTTTGTCCTAGAATTGACATTTGAATAAAAATATAGTACGTTCCATTTGAAAACCTTGAGATTTTGTTAATTAAATTCGACGAAACGGCATCACCTATTTGGGACACCCTGTATAAGCTGATCCGCATCTGTCAAACTGATTGAGTAGTGCACCATCTCCTTAGTCTGTGGTTAAATTTTCATTGCAATACCTGGTCCGATAGCGTCACAACATAATTTTATGTGGGACAATCAAAATATGAAAAAAAAATACATAACCTTAATTTTTGCCTAAACCATGCAAAATTGGAATAGGAATTTCTTAAGAATGCGAAATTTACTTTAACCAAGTATTTAAAAAATGTCGAAATATTCCATTTAGAATAACAAAGTTGATGTCGGGAGGGACACCCTGTATCAAGAAAATTAAAATGTTTTAAATCTTCAGGAGAGTCCGAGAAACTGGTTTTCGTATCTCCTACGGGTTTCCAGATCGTACAGCGGATCGTTTTATTCAGCACACGGTGTACCTTATCTTACTGTCAAAGTGCAAACAAGGGCCGCGGGTGCCGCTACTGCTCTGGGGCGACCGCCGGGCAATCCGTCATCGAGTCATATATTCCCCACTTTTGAGGTCTAAATTTATACTCGATATTTGGTTTTGAACAAAAAAAAAGTCGATTGTCCGGCGTCGCTGTCAATTCTTTGCCCGGCAGAATTCGGCGGCCCAAGAGGTTCGCCCCTAGTCAAATTCGAGGGAAGTGCCCTCTCCAATTTCAAGCTAACAATTTTTCGTCATCTTTTCTATACGTAGTACGATATATTCATAACCAAATGATTTCCACGTTTTCTTTTTTTTTTGCGTCACTGTATAGCGGAAAATTGACGACGTGGCAACGGGTGACTTTTTATACGGCGTGTCGCAAAAATAATATCAAAATTTGGCGTAAACATTCCAAAGGCAAATTTTTTTGAGTGACGATTTTTTTTTTGGCCGCCCGGCACCGTGTCGTCATTCAGCAGTCAATATTTTTTTCAGCTACCCTCTTGTACAATACGGTGTAAATATTATATTTAACTTAGTCCCCCTTTCTGTTTTATATAAATACCCAATCTAGCGTTGTATATATATATAGTAACTTATAATTTACGATAAAAATATTGTTATGCGATTATTGTTATTGATTAATACTCTGAATTTGTATATTTCGCATGTCCGCAAACAGAAATTATTTAATAAAGTATCAGGTGGGAAGAAGATGCAGTTTTATTTTACAGGGTCGTCGAAAATTGCGAAAGTCGTTCGTAACATTGCTGTTGTGATACATCATATATAATAAATAAATCCGCCTTTATTTTAACAGTATGTAACTAATTGCTTTCGCAAAATTATCGGTGGGCGGGGCAAATTCGTAGCGTAACATGATTTGTGTTTCGAAAAGAAGCCAATTCGGGGTTTTTGTCCTATAGGGACGCATTGTTTTTCTATGGTGCTCCTGCGGACCACTATGGAACTTTTCGCAAAATCGATGTACGACCAACCTTGGTAAAAGTTAAAATTTGTACAAATAATTTTCGAATTCGAATGATATATTTTTTTTAAATATCTCGCGCACCTTGTATGATACACGAAACCTGAAACTCTCTCTCGACGGTTAATAATTTACCCACGAAAACGGCAATTTTTAGAACCTTTTAGATTTTTTGCCCATAAACGACACACCCTGTATATATTTCAAACAATGTACAAAATAGAGGTGATATCCCTGGATCTCCTGGCATATACATTTTTCCAATTGAGTTTTCAAGGAAATATTTGTTTTCTGAAACCATGCAGTACTTCGCAATAGTCGAGCAATGGTGATTTTTCTTTTGTTTTTTTCAAATATCCCGAACAGCGTGAGCGGTAAACCTTTTAAAGCAATTAGCCATATATTCTACAAATTTTGATTTTCGGCAAATAATTTACTCTGGAAAAGAACAATTTTCAGTCTCTGTTATATTTTTGTATATAATTGAAAAACCGTGTAAATAATCGAAAAAATGCTATAAAATAAAAGTTTTAATACCGGATATCCTGCGTCTTTTGGTTCAAGAATTTTGTTGATCGAGTTTTTGCGGAAATAGTTTTTTTCTGGACGTCAAAAGCACGCGTATACTTTCATCGATTTTTCGAAAGTAACAAGACAATGCAAACTTAAATTTAGAATAAATCAAAAAGGAAAAACGAAAGAAACAAAAAAGTGTTTGTGAGGAATGTTACCTAAATATGAATGGTTGCTGTGGAAACCACGTAAGATTAGAGAAAATTGAGATGAGATTATACGTAACAGTATTAAAATTTTCGTAAATATATTATAAATAGTTAAATTAAACAAACTCGGCATACTTTTAGAGATAATGCAAATTACATCCAATGCCTTTGGGAGTTCTTTGAAAATCGTCAATTAAGCACGCATACACAAAACAAGAAAATGAGAAACATCTCGGAATTCAAAGCGCCAAGTTCTTTACAATATAGTAATATCCAAAAACACCTCCTTTTCCTTACAAAAAATAAGCAAATGCAAACGAAGTTCAAGAATTGACGTTGAAAATGCCCTGCATTGCCGTAAGCGTTTATTCGTTATAACATGATCGCATAAAAAATAGGATTTCTTATAAACCACATCGCAATTGTTAAAAAAAGGGCTATTACTTATTTTATGCCTAATGGTTAAGGAAATATTCATTCAGTACGTTCAGCTCTGGCAAGATTTGTCTCAACCCGTCAAGAGATTTACAACACTTCAAAATGGAAGCAATAGATAGCAATTGATTGATAGATTATACACTGCCCAGCCAATATAACGCAATATTTTTCAAAAACATCGAAATTTTTAACTTTATCCCACGATTCCGAACCACTTCGGCCATTTGCGGAATATTACCTAACGAGTTCGGGAGCAATCGGATGTTTTCGGAGATTTTACCGCAATTCTGAATGTAGTCGTGTTGTTTTACAAAAATGTACCCAAAAACTGGCGGTTGTAGACAATATGTTTGGCAAACTTCTTAAGTCACTTCTTAATTAGACTCAAATGCCTTTTACCACATAATATACTGTTAAACCTCATTTTCTCATATTAACAAACTTCAATTTAATATAACCTTTTGCTCTGCCGCTGCTTCACACCTTCTTAGAACATTTGAATTTTTGATTTCGTCTTGTTCATTTTAATCCCATGTTTGAGTTAGATTCAATTCATTCATTGTATCGGTCGTGTAAGGAATAATATCCTTAACTGCTAATCTTCTCTCCATTGATATTTCTTGTAACATTTCTTCTTTCGTTTCTCTTCACATGCACACAATGGGCCATTTGGGTTCCATAAGTTAACTTTTGTTGATAAGGTTCAAATTAAACAACGGAGGCTAACGACATGAAGAATTCAACTTTTTAGGAAATGTATGGGAATTTTTTCCATAGCCTTCTTCGCACATTCCATGAAAAATTACATTGACAAAGTTCGCATACGTCATACGTCAAATGCATGGGAATTTCTTTCCATAGCCTTCTTCGCCAATTCCACGAAAAATTACATCGGCAAAGTTCGAATACGTCATGAAGAAATCATTTTAAGTCATTGCATCCATTACAAATTTTTATTTTATAAGCGTTAATTTTACTGCGCTGATTTCTGCGCTCCGGTGATGTTGACACGTGGTGGATGCGCAATAATTATACTTTTCGATGTGGATTGGATCCGACAGATACGGGACGTGGTCACGCGAAATTTGCTGAGAGACGATGATAAACCTCGGATTCGAATTATTTTTATCGAAGATAGCCGCGTACCTTCGGGTCCCGAAGGATACGACCCCGGCGCACGAACTTTTGTCACATGCGATTCGAGAAATATCGTTGTTTATTTAAGAAAACGGATCGTATATAATTTTTTGTAATCCGCTGTTCGACCTACCGTGGTTGCAGCCACGCCCGATTCAAAGTGCATAAATACACCGAACAAATCTTCATTTTATATATTTATGTTTATACAGGGTGTTCGGAAATTGGGTTCGGAAACTTGGAGGAAGGATTCAACGGGGTAAAATAACGGTAGTAATTTTATTTTTAACACAGCGCGCTTAACTCTAAACGGAATAAGCTGGTATTTTGCACACAGCCCTGATTTAGCAAATGTCGTCGTTACAAAATAGAAGTGTTTCAGAAATATGTCACTAGAGGGCACTTTAGCTATTTAATAATAATAACAAATTGCCTTCATTGTTGTATATTGTTCTATACAGTCGAGATGAGGCGAAGTCTAGCAAAAGCCACTCCACATACCCTCTTAAATGTTTAATTGGGAAACTAAATAGGAAGTTATAAATACATTGATAAATTAAATATAGTATATTAGATAAGTGTAATAGTTAAATGGAAGAAGAAAGTTATTAAAAGTAAACATAAAAAGAATAACATTGAAAATCAAATTATTGAGAAGCAATTGAACTGAAGTGGCTTTTACTTGATGAAAATCCATTTAACAAAATAAATAAGAACTAAAAGTTTAGATTTTCACGAAATTATATATTTTCACATAACAATTGTTTGGACAACACCGTGTCTTTATCAAATGTAATATTTAAAAACTACCTGTTACTGTATATACCGAAAAATGACAATAAAACCTTAATTAATGTTGTTATGAGAATTTAAGTTTAATAATAGAGAGGTATTTAAATCTAGTTGATCGTTAAGCAATACATTTGAATGCTTCATTTTGTTATTCTCCATGGCTTCCAATAAATTTAATTTTCTACATTTTGTGGCTGTATGTAAAATATCAAAATGTTCGTCAAAAATGTGTTTTTCTGTGTTTAAGTGTGTAGCATATTGAGAATCTAGACTATTGTTTTTAAACGCTCTTTTATGTTTGTTAATGCGTTTCTTTGAAGGATCTACCTGTTTGTCCAATATCAATTTTAGGACACGATCCGCATTTCAACCTGTAGAGCTGTAGAAATTTGGACGCATCGTTTTATTGTTTTTTAAAAATTTTCCTATTGTGTTGTTAGTTCTGAAAGCTATTTTTAAACCACATTTTGACAAATGCTTTGAAACTTTTTCACTGTTTTAAATTTTTCGTGTTCTGTATTAGGTTTCGGATAAATAGAGTTTACTGCTGTCTGAATTTGTTCTTTATTTATAATTTTATCGATAATGGACGGATTGTAGTCCATGTTCAGTGCAATGTTGTAATTTTCTGTTGAGAGTGGTGTATTCAGAAGTCTGTGTATAAAAGAGTGAAATGCACACACACAGAGATACAGACAGAAGTCTATAAAATACGCCACCCTCAACAGAAAATTACAACAAAGAACTTAATCTCATTAAACAAATTGCACTGAACAACGGCTACAATCCGTCCATTATCGATAAAATTATAAATAAAGAACAAATCCAGAAAACAATTTTAAAAACAATAGTCTAGATTCCAATTATGCTACACACTTAAACAAAGAAAAACACATTTTTGACGACAATTTTGATATTTAACATACAGCTACAAACGGTAAAAAATTAAATTTATTGGAAGCCATGAAAATTAACAAAATAAGACATTCAAATGTATTGCTTAACGATCAGTTAGATTTAAATACCTCTCCATTATTAAATTTAAATTCTTATAACAACATTAATTAAGGGTTTATTGTCATTTTTCGGTATATATAGTAGCAGGTAGTTTGTAAATATTACATTTAATAAAGACACGGTATTGTCGAAACAATTGTCATGTCATAATATATAATTTCGTGAACATCTGAACTTTTAGTTCTTATTTATTTTGAGAAGTAAGCAGTTTCAGCCTGAAATATTTGTTAAAGAATTTAATGGAATGTGAGTAGGACGGATTGGATGTGCTAATAATTTAGAAAACCATAGGAGCCAAAAAGTACTTGAAAGTACTGTCAATTTTTAGCCAGTTAAGTTCCTGAATTTTGTGTGAAATGCTATCAAATTTGCGCAAGCCGAAAATAAATCTGCAACAGCTGTTTTGTAACCTATATATATGAATACCATCAAGGCATGGATAATAGAAGGACAAGTGATTGAGCTAAAAGTTTTCGTGAACTGAAATTAACGACAGTTCAAACATAAGACTTTTTCACCAACAAAGACACATTTGCTAGGAATCTAAGTCTAGAATCAAATATCTATAACACTAAGGTTTTTTATTACAGTTCACAATTTTAAAACGTTCACCGTTAATTAATAGTTACATTTGCATTCAAATAATCGATGGATGTATAAATATCAGAAAAATAAGTTAAGAATAATATAGGTCCAAGAACAGAACCTTGCGGTACACCTGATGAAACAGGGAGTAATTCAAAACTTACATTGTCAAGGACAACTGATATTGCAAAATAGAACAGATTGCCTTAAGCAGAATCACAAATTCTCAAAAATTGTTACTCTTGTTTTAAATCGATAAGTGTTATCGTTTAGCCACAAATCGTCTTTTTTATTCTCGGCCCGAATACCCCCACACTTCTAATTCATAGAAAGGTGATATTGAATATCGCGATGTGCATTTCTGTTACGGAAAAGCAAGTAGAAATGCAGGCCAGCATTATTAACCTGCAGGCGACGTGCACTAAATTTTTAAAATCGGTACGCTACAAATTAAAAAAGTCTAAAATTAGTATAAGTCGATGCAATACCATGTTTAATTTAAGTAACATAAATATATTTAACATTTTCGAAAATTATCAATAATAATCGGAAACTGAACAGTATACAACGCTAATTAGAATTCATTTCCAAAATAGGTGTTTCATACAAGACTTTAAGTGCCCCCAAAAAAAGAAGTCCACCGGATTAAGGTCTGGTGTGCCAGGCGGCCAAGCTAGAGGTCCGCCCCGACCTATCCATCGATGTTCAAATGCCTGATTTGAAAACCTTCTTACAGCTAATGCAAAATGAGGTGGACCACCATTTTGCATTAACTGCAAGGGTACCTCTTCCAGCAAAGATCGTAGTTCCTTTTGGAAAAATTGCAAAAATACATTTTCGCATAAAGTGATCCGTTAAAAAAACGAGTTCCTATAATATTATCTGCCCATTTTTGAAGGTATTCTTTTTTCTCTTGCACCGGTTCTTTTATACCTCGGTCTTCCTTTATTCATATTTTCAGATTCACCAGGTCTTCTGTGTATGTTGATGAATCTCCTACCAGATGGAACGTTTCTATTCGGATAAGCCCAGATATTAAGCCGTCGTGCTCGATCTACATTTCCATATGCTCTTCAAAATTTTACTTTTTCGGCCCTACATGTGTCACAGTTTTAAGATGAAGATTTTTTTTTTGCACAAATTTTACTATAAATTTATATTTTATATTTAATTACTGTATATTATTTTCTTATTCCAAAATACAAATTATACATGCCAGAGCAAACGTAACAAACAATGTACTGAAGAAGAGGTGATGTTAAAACGAACAAAGATTACAAAATTAACGTTAATGACTTAATAGAAGAGACAGCGCAACTAAAAATAGGGAGGAAGGAAAGAAACGAGAAATTCTAAGAAAATGACATGACATGCAGTTAACATTTTTTTTTATATTTACGTTATGAATATTATTTTGTCATGAAGATATGCTTTCTGTGTCAGCCAAATCCCATAGATTAGTACTACACAACAATTTTTTTTTGTTTCTTTTAATATCAATAAACTGATCAATCAATTGCGTCAGCAAAACTCCCATTTCCTGCACCTTCTCGTTACTGTTTTGTGATTTCATCACAAAGTGTGATGGCCAAGGCAATTTACACATTGAATCACTTGAAAAACAATTTTGTGACATTATCTACAGATAATAAAAAAAATAATACAAAACTTCATTTGACTAATTACTTTGCACCATTTTAATTTCTTTCACACTTCATTTTCTTGAGTGTTAATTTTTTAGAACTGAGAATATTGTGTTAGAAAGGTGAATCATAAAATAAATATTTTGTTAACATTGAGGGTTTTTATTCCGTCGCTCGAAAACGAAACAGCATATGAAAAGAACTCGAGAATCAAAAAAGTGATACGTTTAGTGGCTTCTCCAAAGTAAGTAATAACTATTGACAACAGTATTTACTGAACTTCACGATTTTAATCTAGTTCAAGACGAATTAACCTTTCATTGTAAATGATATTGGCAAATTTCAACAAAATGGGGTAAAAAATACAAAATCGATAACGAATCCCCAGTCCAGCGTTAGCGCATGTTTTTTGAAACACCCTGTATATAGAGCTATTCAAACACAAGTTTTCATTTTGGGATGTGTAAAGTCTTATTATGAAAATCTTTAAAAATTATTTTCATACTATACAAGTTGTCCTAAAAGTGTTAAAACTATCAAAGTTTTTAAATGCGAAACCTACAGTCTATACAAGACTATAACTTGATTAGTTAGGATTATAAGGATGAAATCTGTTTAATTCTAATTAAATTAATTCTAATTAAACAGATTTCATTAAATTAAATAATTAAATCTAATAATTGTGTTTTCCGATATCTGATTTTGACTAACATTTGAATTTTCTACTACCGTAAAAAAAACATTTTCAGCGAGACATTTTCTTATATTGTTGTTTGTATAACTTTCACTAAACTGTGTTGTGCTGTTCGAGAAGTCAATAAAATAAATAAAAAGAATAAAAACATGAAAACTGATAATTCTAGTAGTAGAAGGTGGAACTTTGGTATTTTTGGGACAATCTGTATAGTGCAAAAGTAATTTATAAAAGTAACGAAGGACTTTTCAAAAGTAAAAGTAAAACTTTTGAAAACCTTTTCCCGTATACACTGTACGAACTTGTTGACATATGGTGGCTGCGCCGGAAGATGCACTCTCAATCTCAGTTTGATTTCCTCTTTCGAAGTCCTGAGATATGAATCCACAACTGATCTAATGGCAAATGCGGCAAGAAAACAAGTCGTCAAATCATGTAATTTCGAAAAATAATCGCAGGTGCATTTTTTTTTCAATCAATTTTCCTCCTGCGTCAAGTACGGGAGATCCGGGCTCATTACTTAGGTAGGCGTTGCCCTGCCGATTAACGATTTTCCATCGGGAAGTTCGGTTGGGTCCCGGTGCCAGTCACAAGACAGTCCATTAGTCTTTCCATCGGAATCTCCTGAGGCTTCACGCCGCTCCCAAACTGTTGTTATTCGTCCACACACGGAGTCCGCCCTCGGAAACCGTCCTCAGAGGTTAGGAGGATGCTGCTAGGCGACGGACCGGGATCCTCCGACCGGATCGTCAACGAGCTATGGAGGAGGCAGAAGGAGGAAGCCCGTCGCAGGAAAATTAACGAGCAACGAGAGGTAATCGCTAATTTAGTAGCTTGTTTCGTTAGAGGTAGAATAAGAAAAGCTTATTTCAACTGGCCAAGGAGCCGGCCTGTAGTTTCGGCGGCTTTCGTAGTTCGGGAAGGTTTTAGACAAACTACTTTAAATGAACGATACACCTTTAATTATTACGAATTTCCTAAAATAGATTTTATTTATTATTATCGACTTTGAATAGTCACACTATTACCACTTTTCCAAAGAGTTCATATTTTTTAAGAAGTATAAAAATGATTTCTTCTCCAATGTAGTCGATCCCTGTGTGTTCCAGATGAGGGAGATGCTGGAAAAGTACTGGCCGTGGGGCAAGACGGAGTCGACCAAGCCCAGGGGACTGAGAAACCTCCGTCTGGATGAGCTCTTCCCCAACAAAGACTACCAAAACGTGGGTTGTCCGCTAGGGGCTATCTACGCTTACACTAAACTCTGTTTAACGATTTAAGGCGAAACGCTACGTGGGGCCCCTGGAGATGGGCAGGCCGGGAGGCGGGGCACCCCTGGTAAACGAAGGTCGGAAGATCGCGACCACGAAGGAGGATCCGTTATTACGGTTTCAGTTCGGGAGCAAAGACTTGAGAAGGGCGGTGGACAACGGCTTGAGGTACAAAACGGATCGGAATGCCCAGATGGAGTACAAAAGGGAACTGGGTGAGCGTGATAATGGCGACTTATTTTGTATTTTAAATCAAATCCGTTACCATCCTTTCAACCTTTTTGACGATGCATGAGCGCAACAATCTTCAGCATCAAGTGTCTTCGAAGCACAATATTTTAAATTTCTTTTTTGGACTGTTTCCAATATAGGAAAAAAGGCATCATTTAATTAAACCAAATTAATTAATTTAATGTTTGCTTTAATTAAATTCAATTAAAATCTTTGGGTATGCAATTAGCATAACTTGAGCTCTAAGGTGAAATTAAAAAAAAAAATAAACGTTTATTTTGTTTAATTAAATTGACCTAAATTAAATTTACTATGGCGAATTTTTCTCTAAATTATTATAATTATACGATTTTTTTTATTTTCAATCAAATCAATTAAGATCCTTTTAACCTTCTTGATGATGCAGGAGCACAATAATCTTCAACATCAAGTGTCTTCGAAGCACAATAAAATATTTTAAATTTGTTTTTTGAACTGTTTCCAATACAGATTTATTTAAAATTTCAAATGATTTCATCACAAAGAAACACATCATATAATTAAATCAAATTAATTAATTTAATGTGTGTTTTAATTAAATTCAATTAAAAACTTTGGGTATGCACTTAGAATAACTTGAGCTATTAGGTGAAATGAAATAAACGAAATACATGTTTATTTTGTTTAATTAAATAAACTTAAATTAAAGTTCACTATGGCGACTTTTCTCTAAATTATTATAATTACACGAATATTTTTTTAAATTTCAAATCAAATCCATTAAGATCCTTTCAACCTTCTTGACGATGCAATGCACAATAAATTATTTTAAATTTGATTTTTGGACTCATTGCAATACAGGTTTATTTAAAATTTGAAACGATTTCATCATCATTTAATTAAGTCAAATTAATTAATTTAAAGTATGTTTTAATTAAATTCAATTAAAAACTTTGCGTATGCACTTAGCATCACTTGAGCTATTAGGTGAAATTAAATAAAATAAATCAAACATTTATTTCGTTTAATTAAATTAACTTAAATTAAATTTCACTATGGCGACTTTTTCTTTAAATTATTATATTTATACGAATATGTTTTTAAATTTCAATTAAATCCATTAAGATCCTATCAACCTTCATTAGCAATCAGCATCTAGTGTCTTCAAAGCACAATAAATTATTTTAAATTTGTGTTTTGGACTCTCTGCAATACAGGTTTATTTAAAATTTTAAATGATTTCATAAAAAAAATCATTTAATTAAATGAAATTAATTAATTAAATGTTTGTTTTAATTAAATTCAATTACAAAACTTTGGTTACGCACTTAGAAAAACTTAATGAAATTAAATAAAATAAATTAAACATTTATTTTGTTGAATTAAAATAACATAAATTAAATTTCACTATGAAGACTTTTTTTCTAAATTATTATAATCATACGAATATTTTTTTTAATATCAATCAAATACATTACGATCTTTTCAACCTTCTTGACCATGCATGAGCACAACAATCTTCACCATCGGGTGTCTTCAAAGCACAATAAATTATTTTAAATTTGTTTTTTGGACCTGTATTGCAGTTCATTTAAAAAAAATTATTTTATCATTTAATTAAATGTTTGTCTTAGTTAAATTTAATTAAAATATTTAATTAAAATCTTTGGGTATGCCCTTAGCATGAAATTATATTTAATGACGTATATTTTAGTCATATTTAAAACTTGAGCTATAAGGTGAAATTAAATTAAATAAATTACACGTTTATTTAAATTAACTTAAGTTAAATTTCACTATGGTCGCGTTGCAGACAAGCTCGTGGATGAGAAGAGACGCATACGCGAGAAGGAAAAGCAACTCGAAATGGAATACGAAAAACGGCAAGTATGTCAGGAAGGGGGATCGAAAATGAAGACAATATGATAAAACTTAAAAAAAAATGATGTTTAAGGGTTGGTCGGAGGGGAACGCTGTGAGGAAGCTCGACAGGGACGAAGAACAGAGGTGAACACGTTATAGTCCAAGTCACACTGAGAACACAGTATATTAATGTCAATATCGCTCTCAGAACTGTCGTCAATATTAAGTTGATCCATCATTTCCTGTCGGTCTTTTTTTTATATTTTGTTGAGTTTCCTTCTTCTTTTTTGACTAGGGCAATACCTCTTGTGAGAGAGACGTCCAACCATTTCGCCGTCATTGTAGGGGCCTGCCTGGTGGTCGTCTTGTGATGAGATCATTTCAGACGTTTATTCTCCTGCGGCATGCTGCATTTGAAAGATTCCGACCCATAAGTTGCGATACAGAATATTAGCGCTTTGGGAATCCTCATCTTGGTCATTTTCGGAATGTTGTGGTCTTTCCAGCCAGTTTATCCAAAGCTTCTTTTGCCATTCCAATTCTTCTGTTGATTTCTGGCTCAGAGCCTCCTTTGCTAGTTAGTTTTGCCCCAAGATAGATGACAGTGTCTCTGGTTTCTATATCATGAATGTTTCGAAGTGGCAATGTGATTGTCTGAGGTCTATCCACAATCAGCAGACATCATTTGGTCCTTTTCAGACGTAAGCCTGATTCCAAACTGGCAGCTTCCACACCTTGAAGGAGTTTAAACATTTCTTGTTCAGTTTGTGCCAAAACCATTCGAAAATCGTGAGTTTGACACTTTCTTCCAGTCAATAGAGATTCTGCCATCCCAGTTGTATAGAGCCCTTCTAATGATCCATTCTTCGTAGATGAAAGAGAATCGGGGAGAGAATGCAACCCTGGCTAACGCCTTTTCCCACATTGAATCCTGTTGATAATTGCCCTTCTATTCGTATGTCTGCTCTGTTCTTGGCATATAAGGCTTTTATGATATATACGAGATGTTACGGGAACCCTATATCTCTCAAGATGTTCCAAAGTCGTCTCCACTGTACTGTGTCAATTGCGCCTTGGAGGAAGCAGAATATAGCTGGTACATTGTATTCGTACACTACATTCTCAGTGTGACTTGGACTATCGTCAGGTAGTCTTTAATTGGTTCGGAAGGGATGTTTCGATCAGGAACGGGAGGCAGCGGAGGGTGATCAAGCTCGAGCCCATCGTCCACCCGAAGACATTCATTGTGGCGGGCAAGAACCGCAAACTGTCGCCGTTTTCGAGCGACGGAGACGGCGTCGAGTTGGTGGCCCTCCTTACCAAGGACAAGAACCGCCCGCCGAGGGCGCCACTCTGCAGCACCGACGTCACGAGGGAGAGAGAGTCGGGGTGATTTGTTTGCTCAGCTCGGTGATAATAAAAAGAGAAGGAGTAAAGAGAATAGAGTCAAAGTAAAACGAAAAAAAAAAACGCAAATAATAATTGAAATAGGCAATTTTTTAAAGGTTTGTGAGTTTGAAAGAGCTGGATGGTGCTTTATAGTTTCTATTCTATTTAGAGATCTTTTTCTTAGAGATAGAAACAACAATAACACTCATACAAGCAACTCCTTTGAAATTGTACGGTCTGGAAAATATTTTTACCTCTTTCTTTTACTAAGTAAACTGTGTGGAAACAGTTTCTTATTATTAACATTCGAGAGTAGTTATTAATTATATTAAAAAAAAATAATCACTTAAATTTTAATAAATTTTTGATATAGGACAGCACTAATTGTCTAAACAAACAAAGACAATGTTCATGATAGTTTTTTCTCTTATTTTTTGGAACAAAAGAACCAATCTCATTGTAAGGTAAGTCATTTTCAACATCGTTGATGTTTTTATTGGAGTCGTTTTGACATTTCCCTTACTACTTCATATACTTATATATAGTTATATAATATTTATATATGTATATATATATATATATATATATATATATATATATATATATATATATATATATATATATATATATATATATATAAATACAAGAAAGTTTTTGTGGCACATTTACTTATATAATTGAAGTTTTTGAAGTGCCTGTACAAAAACCAAATGAACTCATAATGAATAACCTCATGACCCTGAATATATATATATATATATATATATATATATATATATATATATATATATATATATATAATATAACTACAAGAAAGTGTATGAGGTACATTTAGTTGCATAATTAAAGATTCTGAAGTGCCTGTACAAAAACCAAATGGACTTATAATCAATAATCTTATGCCTTAAATATATATAACTACAAGAAAGTGCCTGTACAAAAGCCAAATAGACTTATAATTGATAACCTTATGACCTTAAATATATATAATAACAACAATGTTTTTGAAGTGCCGCTACAACACCCAAATGAACTTATGGACCTTAAATATAAATAACTACAAGAAAGTTTTTGAGGTACACTTACTTATATAATTAAAGTTTCTGAAGTGCCTGTACAAAAACCAATTAATCGATAACCTAATGAGCTTAAAATATCTTGTCGTGTAAAATATAGTGTTTTTTGCGCAAGGATTTTCTAGAATAATCCATAACCTAGAATTACCTGCTGGGGAGTGCGTAACTACATTTGCGTATTATAAGAAAATAAGCGAATGGCGTAAATGGGTAGAGACAAGACTGTATTTATTGCGCGTTTAATTAAAATTTTTGATGACACTGCCGATGCGTTGGCCCGCGGGCGTACAGGCATTTAATTCTTTTAGCTTTCTCAAGACGTAGACGAATATGCAAATTATCATTCCGATTTCCCCTAACCAATTTCTATGTGTTTAAATACTTAAAATAGAAAAATTGCCTACTAAATTTGAAACAAACGCCCATTTTTTTCTTCCTTACTTATTTCGTTGATTTTATTGTAACTCTACCGATCGGAGCGCTCTTAAAAACATGCACATATACTTACTTCAATTGAGCAGGTGCTAAAGCTTGTCTCTTAATGGGAGAGAGTAATAAAATGTAAATTTGCAATGGCAATCATTAAACAGGGTGTTAAGTGTAAAGTTCAGATAAATTGCAATGAGAATTTTCCGTATTTCAGTTTTTAAGTCTACACATCTCTAATCATTCTTAAGGTCATATTAACTTGTATACAATGGACAGACGAGTAGAATTAGTATTAGAATAAATAATAAAAAATAATTACGTATGATAACAATTGAGATAAAGCAAATAAAAACTTATATACAGTGTGTCGCACTTACCCTTGTAAAATCTTTGTTTATGGTTCGATTTTGGTAATTCTTTTTTGTTGGATAGATCTCTCAATAATGCACTAAAACCTTGTTTTGCTGATTACTTCAAGCTAAAGTTCTCACCAACTGGGACTACTTAACAAAAGGGAGAGAACCCAACTATACCTGTCCACCCACCTACCACTCTCGGGACTCTCGACAATTATCTTAGATACAACCCTACGCCCATCGAATACAGAGCATAACAATTATTTAATCAGATTTAAGATTGTGATCACCTATGTTACACTTCAGTGGAAAAATAGGCAAGGTATAATTGGTTCTACGACAATAAATTATTATTATAAAATACGTAAAATAAAATAACTGACAAAAATAATTTTTCGAGAGACATTTTTGTGTGAGAAAATTATATCTGTCATACGACTGGCGAAGAACTCGTGTCCACCAAAAAAAGTTCCTTTTTAAATTTTGATTGTTCCCCCAGGAAGTCAGGCTCCTGGAATCGCCACGACTCCGCCTACTTGAAGGACCTCGCCCAGCAAATGATGACGAAGAAGCAAACGTCGCAGGTAAGACGAAAGAGAAATAATGAGTCGCGATATTTTATGGGAGTCGAACGGATCTTCTTTGGAAGAGGTCCATAACCAAAACATTGGGCAAAAAAAAAGCAAAACGTAAACGTTCCGAATTCATAATTATGTACCGTGCGTTCAATTTCTCTTGATAACATTATTATTGGCCGTCACTTTTTTGTTTTTAGAGATATCAAGGTAAACAAAAAAGAAAATGTAGAGTTAGTAGCCAAGTTTTTTTCCAAGTGACGTATAAAACAAAACACTGACATATAAGCCTACATCATATTTTTTTAAATGGAAAACCCTGTGTATTATATATTATATATTATATTTTGTCCACTTTATATTAGGAAATTTTTATATAATTTTAACTGGCTTTTTTAAATGACTGACTGCAACAAAAATAATTATTTACAAATTAATGTAGAACAAAAACACTAACAATGACAAAACACACTAAAGTAATAAATTCTTTAACTATTCTAAATACTGCTGTATGTGACCACTATTTTCCTGGACATATTTCTCGTACACTCTAATTGTATGATATCTTGCATTCAGTAACATTTCCGGATTGTCTCTTAACTGATTGATTGAATCTGAAATCCTTTGCCGGAGTGCCAGGACATTACTCCAAGGAGTGCACGTGATTTTTTATGTGTCCCCAAAAGAAAAAATCGATTAAAGTTAAGTCGGGGCTGTTTTCTGGCCAATCCATAGTTCCGCCGTTCTCTATCCAACCGCTGGGATATTCCATGTTAAAAAAAAATAACATTGTGAGGAGGGACACCGTATTGCTGCCATATAATCAGCGCTGATATATTTATAGGTAAATCTTTTATATATTGTTTGATTCTCTAAAAGTTGCAAATAACGATGTCCAACTAACTTTTGATCTATACATATATAAATATACATTAATTGATTCGTACCTCTGGGTTTTTGTTTCGTGTATTTGTCTAGGATTATTTAAAACCAATATCGCGTATTTTGTCTATTTCAACCCTTTCTTGTAGTGAACGAACTTTTATCGGCCTATAAAATGTTTTTCAAAAAATTATTATTTTCGTTATGTCTATTTAAACTGCACATTCCTTTGACATTATTTATATTCTTTCAAAACTGAATGGATTGATCCCCGAGAAATACCTGTCTCTTCATATACTCTAGTAATAGAGGAAACTGGATGTGACTAACAGAATTTGCTTTGCTTTATTTTCATCATTTAAAACATTATGATCCGGCATACCTTTTTTGCATTTAATACGTTACCGTCTTCTGCAAAATACTTTGGCAGCCTTGGAAATATCTGTTTTGAAGGAGCTCGGCGCTCTTTATTATTCAGAAAGTATACTTGAAGCATTTCACTTCATGCCTTGGACAATAATTCAACCATCAACGTTGTTTACTAATATGTCAGACATAAACATATTTTTATTTGTCAGAAATCGGGTGCCATCACTGCTTGCATACCTTCTTGACCTGAAATACCTAGACAATATGCAATAATATATAATCTAAGCAGATCAGATCATTTGCCAATTTACCTATCCCTATATCGGCTGTCTGTATCATGGAAACGTCGTTTGCACCATCACCAATTGCTAGGGTCCTCATCTTCATCTCTTCTTTTACCACTTTAACTACGTAAGCTTTTTGCAAGGGCGTAGCTCTGCATCATAAGTGGTTAGCTTCAAAAACGGGACAGTGAGATTTGATCTTCTATCCAGAATGTATGTTAGTGTTTTACCGTCAAAAACTAAAGCTCTACTGTTATTTTTGCAGGTGCTTGTAAATACCTCCGTCGACCGAAACTGACGAATACGTAGCGCCAATGTCATACGCGCTATTTTCTGATATCACCTGAGCTTCTTTAAGTTGTTGTTATTTAGTCAGGCCTTCTTCAGCTAAACAACAATGGATTGTGCTTTCGGCGCTTTCTTTAGATCGCGCCATGATCTTCAGTAACTCCATTTGCGGTCAGAACCCACACTACTATATCGGTCGAAATTAAGGCGGAAAGAGTTTCGGGTACACCTTCCTGTAGCCGATCTTCAATTCCTGAAAATTTTGACTGCATGAACCACGAAATTTTTTTGAATAGGATGGAACAATACGGAAGCTCTGAACTGGTTTAGATCGTTCTTAACAAATCGTGGGCAGTATGTTGAAATACGTCAGGAAAAAGGCAACCTATGATACGTACATTGCTTGGCCCTGTGTTATTTATCCTTTTTAGCAATGAACTTTCTGCTCATCTAAGTTTATCAGAGTTTGGTAAAGACTGTTCAAGTTTAATCTCTTCACACTGCGATCAAATAAATAAATTCACAACTTGTACTGCTAAATAGCTGGTTTAACACCAACGACCTCTTTTTGCATGTCCAAAAAACAAGTGTACTGATTTTCAAATGCCCACAAAACAAAAAAAAGACTAGAACTCGACGAAACCCTGTCTCCAAATCTGCACACTTATTGTTTCCCAATAAAAAATTTAAAAACTGTTTTGAATGGGAAATGGTTGGTAAATTTCTACTATGCTCACATCCATTCGAGATTACTCTATGGTATTCCTTTTGGGGAAATTCAAGCCGTGCGACATCTGTTTACAAATCCCAAATCGCTGGAGTGTCGCTGAATAGTTCGTGCACTCGTTCAAATTATATAAAAATTTTCTATTTTTGCCGAATTGTCAAAAACGAGTGGATTAAAATATATTGATAGTGTTTTGTTTTATACGTCACTTGGAAAAAACTCGGCTACTGACCCTACATTTTGTTTTTTTGTTTACCTTGGTATCTCCAAAAACAACAACTTTAAGGCCAGTACTTAAATGTTCCGCTAAACTATCTCTTCAAGTGACCTTATACAGAGGTATCGGAAGGGAAAAAGGACATGGTTCCCTTGCTGATGGTTCTGTGTACTGAAGGATTTGAAAATCTACGTAGCGAATGTCCAAAAGTTTCGACACTTTTCAAGATTGGCGATTTCACAGAAACTGCCAGAAGATTCTGGTTAATTTTCCACCATTACTCCAGTCGGAAAATCCGTTCCGATTGCGCCACTTAAATATCTTCGCTTAACTTGGGGCTTCGTCTGCTGTTCGGGACATATAACTCCTCCCTCCTTAACTTTCGAAAATTAAAGGAACGTTTTTTCGAAAAACCTCCAAAATTTTCTTCTTGGCATGTTTCCTCTGGTTTGGATGCCCCCAACCTTTGAAATAGAATCGAATTGTTTTTCGAGATTTACGATTTCAGGATCGCTCACTAATTGATTTGATTTGATTCGTTTTCTCTTTTTCTTAAACTAATCGCGTGCAATGCGAGCCCTAAACTATCCCTTCAAGTGACCTTATACAGAGGTATCGGATGTTTCTGTGCTGAAGGATTTGAAAATCCACGTAGTGAATGTTTCGACACTTTCGACGAGCGGCGATTTCACATAAACTCCCAGAACATTCTGGATAATTGTCCACCACTAGTGCACTTAGAAAATCCTACTGACTGCGCCACTTATATAATCCAAATTCGACTTTTGATGCGATATCAGCGAGGTGTTATCTTCGCTTAGCTTTGGGCGTCGTCTGCTGTTCCGTTAAAATGTTATCAGCATAATTTGAACGCGCGCTACTTTAAAAACGCCCGTTTCTTGCCGAATTCATGCTTCATAATTCATACGCTCGCCGCAGGACATGAAAGCGGAGGAAAACGAAACCGCTCGACGTCATTTTACGACCTGGACCGGGTTCTGGGGCAGACCCGGCAACGGGGCCCCCAGGTCGGCCGTGAAGAAGGCCTCGCTCGACCGCCTGCTCTACCCCCCGATGATGCCCATCGGGGTGCACTAGAAGACTTGCCGTTTAGAGATGCCAAATTAAAATGTTAAAAATGCGGAAAGCCTTTCAATTACCTCCCCACGTGGTAACTCGTTTCGTCGCGAGAGGGGGGCGGGGCGGAGATTGCATAGAGAAAACGCGTTATAGCTTTTTAACGACTCGCAGGCGATGAAAAAGGACGCGACAACAATTGCCCGGAAAGCAATTCAATTTTAAAGATGTTTACGTACGTTAATGTCGTTCCCATCGGTGAGAACGGCTGTTTAAAATGGCGGCAACAATTTTACTGCCAAGGAAAAGATATGCATTTTTGTTTCGTTCATCTTTTCATGGAACACCGAAATTTAGGTAAAATTATCTAACTGAGGAGTCAATTTCGTTAATAAATAGCGGAACTCAGTAAAACTCGTTCTCTAATTATCTATTACACCGTCTATTGGAGATCTTGATTAGACAAAATGAGTTAACCAGCAGCTGCCATTTAGTTGTCTTGATACGAATGGATTCTCGCATGCTACGAGTACGAATACAAATACTTTATTAATGTTACTGGCACAGATGATTTACATACGTCAAACAAAAAGGAATAAAATAACATATACTTAAAATGCACCTGGTACATTATAACTAAAATACAAATAATCATCGAAAGAATAAAAATGATGATTAATTAAAAATGGTATTACTGTTTGTTTAAAAATTTCAAATGGTAAATTACGAAGAGCATTTGGAAAAACCTAACTCTAAGCGGCAGTAGGTAATAATCACATTGTCCCGACCTCTGGTTTGATGGTCACTCAGTTTTATCATTATTTAAAACTAAGTTGCTCCGAGAATGAGGCAGGCGAGGCTTGATGATGGATGGTCTCGCCCTCCCTCGGACCAGGGCGCTGCTTGGACTGAAGGGAATGTAGAGCACTAACAGGGACCTACACAGGACATTGCAGGCTTAGGAGGCATCTTTGCTTGCTAGGCATTGGAGACGACCCGGAGTGCAGCTGGTGCATGGAAGGGGAGGAGACCCCGTATCATCTGCTCACCGAGTGCCCTGCTTTGACATGGGCAAGATTGGAAATCTTCGGAGGGGCGGCATTATGGGGGCACAACGGGCCCATCTGGTGGCCTAAGTGCTTGGACACCCGCGACGGCGCCCCCTTTAATACCAATACGTAACCTAAGCTGTATTTCCAAAATTTTCAAAAAGATGCTGATTATTTGATGTCTATTTTCAGCTCGATAATAATTGACGAGCAGTACTTTTAACAATAAGTCCCTAAGTCAATTTGGTTAGTTACACCAGTTACATAGTGTATGTCCTGTGTATAGGTATGTAGCTACCTAACTGGTAGATTTCAAGTTGCCAATTGAAAAAAATTCCGTTAAAATAATTTTCCTTACCCTTATGGTGTAGCGCAGGGATCCTACCTGGGTCCCTTATTATTTCTAACATTTATTAATGGCATTGCTGAATGAATCTTCTACAAGTTCGGCGAATGATCTTAAATGCTATCGGGCTATGTCCCTCCACTAAGAAACACAACATATGCACAAATGGCACTCCATTGGCTCGGGCCTCAAACATCTTGCAGTATCTTTAACATTTGTTAGTCAGATCGATAGAATAATTTACACAGCGCTAAGAATGCTTGACTCCATTAAAAGAACAACTTCACGAGCCTTTCTGCGATTAAATTACGATATTGTTGCCTGGTTAGATCTTTACTAGAATATTACTCAGCTCTTTATGCAAGTCATATTGATACGATCGATCAAGTACAAAGAAAGTTTCTCAAATATTTGGATTATAAGTCAAACATTCTCCCCTCTGACTGCTACCGAAGCTTAGAAGAGATCATGCAAACTAACCAAAAAACTGTTGCATGCTACACGTTGCCAGACCGGCTTGACATAACATCAAAGACCAATATCGCGTATTTTGTCTAATACAACCCCTTCTTGTAGTGAACGAACTTTCATCAGTCCATAACATGTTTTCGAAAAAAATATTATTCTCAATATTTAAAAAATCCAAAATTCAATTCAGGAATGATCAGGAACGATCACCATTGACTGTAACGTTCTGGCCATCATCGTTTTTGAAGAAGTACGGACCAATGATTCCACCAGCCCATAAAGCGCACCAAACAGTTAGTTTTTCTGGATGTAACGGTGTTTCGACATACACTTGAGGATTAGCTTCGCTCCAAATGCGGCAGTTTTGTTTGTTGACGTAGCCATTCAACCAGAAGTGCGCTTCATCGCTAAACAAAATTCGCTTATGAAAATCGGGAACAACGGCAATCCCGTTTTGGGTCCATTCGACGGATCTACGCCTTACTTGATAATCGTTTGGCTTCAATGCCTGCAGGAGTTGGATTTTGTAAGCACGTAAACCAAGATCCTCCATAAAGTGGATGGACACAGATCCAATTCCTGGGCTCGATGGCGGATGGACTCATTCATGTCTTCCTCAATGCTACGCTCTACAGCAGCAATAGCTTCTTCTGTACGCACCGTACGGCGTCTCTGGGGATGATTTGCAACTCTTAGTGCACCAAGCAGAACAATATATAGAAGATTTACCCCTAAAAATTATATGGCAGCATGACAGTGCCCCTCCTCACAATGTTGTGCACGTTAAAAATTTTCTTAACATTGAATATTCCAGGGGTTAGAGAGGGAACGGCGGAACTATGGAATGGCCAGCCAACATCACCGACTTAACTTTAATGGATTTTTTCTTTTGGGGACACATAAAAAATCACGGGCGCAGAACTCCTCGTAATAATGTCGTGGATCCTCGGCAAATGATTTCAGAGGCAATCAATCAGTTCAGAGATAATCCGGAAACGTTACTAAATGGAAGACATTATACAATTAGAGTGTATGAGAAATATGTTCAGGAAAATGGTGGTCACCTATAGTCAAATAATTTTTTACTTTATTGTGCCTTGTCGTTTTCAGTGTTTGTGTTCTACTTTGATTTGTAAATCATTACTGTTGTTGCAGTCAGTCACTGCACTCTTTGAAATTATATAAAAAATTAATATTTTTGCCTATTTGTCAAAAACAAGCGGGATAAGATATTTTTGAAAAGCACATATAATATACAGGGTGGTCAATTTAAAAACAATATGATGTAGGCTTATATGTCAGAAAATTGATAGTGTTTTGTTTTATACGTCACTTGGGAAAAAACTTGGCTACTAACCCTACATTTTTTTTTGTTTACCCCGATATCTCTGAAAACAAAAAAGTTACAGCCAATTAAAATGTTATAAAGATTAATTAATCGCACGGTAAGGGACCAAGGATGGCTCGGTTGGGCTCGATTCCCTTGGGTTTTATGTCGAATCTATCGGTTAGTATAAAAAGTCGGTAATGTCCCTCTGGCTGTCCCCCTAACCAGATGACGTCAAGTTGCGCAATCGGTATAACTGACCAGCCGGTGCCGGAACGGCCGCCCGGGGCGCGTCAGGCGATAAAAAAAAAACGACGCGAAAAGAAATCTGATCGCTGCCGGGCGGTTTGGAAAAAATCCGTCTTCGCGGAAAGAGAAATTTCTTGTACGTGCGTCGCTTTAAATGAAAACGAAACGGCTTTCCTGCCCCTCCCCGCCAGGCCGTCTTGTCGGATCGCGAATCTGAATTAACCCGCGATTGTTTTGCTAATGCGCCGCCCGTATCGCTTTCGCGAAGACAAAAGCAAAAGCAGGCGAGACGGAAAATCAACGAATATCGACTAAAAAAAATGACGGAAAAATGGGTCGGGTTTTGAACGATTAAAAACATTTCTTTTCATAAATTATTCCACCAGTCTCTAACCATGTCAATTTATTTACCAACAGTACAATTACCCTTTAGCAATAAAAACACATTTTGAAATATTGAAATTTTAAAATGTTTAAAAGAAAATAATCACTTTTACAATTTTGAAATCTACAAAATGAACTAAACAACTTAAAATTTTTAAGTAAAGTAAAGCATCTGGCATGAATTATTCTAATAAAAATTATTTGATCCCAATTTTTTTTAAAATATTCTTAAAACTATTGGAATAAAAAATTATTTGGGCAATAAATTCTTCAAAATATATTTTACCTATTTTTTTAATTTCTTACGCTATTTTTACGTACATTTTGCAATAAATTGTATCATAAATAGTGTGATAAAAATCATTTGGACACTAATGCTCTAAAAATATTCTTCCCATACTTTTAATAATTTTGCTAAATAACTTTTGGCATAAAATAAATAAACCTATTTGGCTACTAATTTCTTAAAAATATTCTTTACTTAAGTTTGCAAATTTCTTACAGTATTTTTAAGTAAATTTTGTAATAAAATCTGTATAAATTATTGTAATAAAAATTGTTTGGGTACTATTTTTTAGACATATTTTTGAGCTATATATACAAATTTCTTTCAATATTTTTAAGTGTTTTTTTCCATCATTTTTGGCTTAAATTGTGTAACAGTAATTATTTCGATTCTAATCTTTTAAAAATATGCTTCATCTATGTATACAAATTACTTACACTATTTTTAAGTGTATTTTGCCATAACTTCTGACCTAAATAGTGTAACAAAAATTATTTTGGTTCCAATTTATTAAAAATATTCTTCAGTTATGTTTACAAATTTCTCACTGTATTTTTAAGTAAATTTTGCAATAAATTAGTGTAATAAAAATTGTTTGGGTACTATTTTTTAAACATATTTTTAAGTGTATTTTTCAATCATTTTTGACATAAATATTGTAATAACAATTATTTGGGCCCTAAATTTTTAAAATGTGCTTCACTTATGTTTACAAATTTCTTCCAGTATTTTCAGGTGCATTTTGCAAAAATTTTGGCAAAAATTAGTGTAATAAAAATTCGGGCAATCTTCTTTTTTAAGTGTATTTTGCAATTTTTAAAAAATATTCATTCTATATTTAGATAGATCCTGGCATAAATAGATATAGTAAGTTAATGAGATTGTTTTATAAATTTTAACAAGAATATTAAGACTAATATTCATATGTTCACGTATGTTGCACTATTGTGTCGAACATTGATACTTGATAATTTGATAGATTAAACAAAAATGATCTGTGATTAAAAGTTGTGAAATGAATAAACTCAGGATGCGATAAAAAAAAATAAAAATAAATAAAATAAAAAACCCATTCGGCTCCGATCGAGGCGCGTATAGAAATCGAAGATGGCCCGAGGGGGGTCGGGAACGAATCTTCTTCTTCCTCGCCGGCAGTGAAACCCATGAAGATGCGCTTAGTGTGGTTTTGACCGCCGATCTGGTACTCGGTGGGTGGTACTGCCTGGTGATCCCGCGATCAAGTGGAATTTTTAGCCGCGCCGCCGAAATGTTTTGGGTGAGTGTGCAAAATAGAATTATCTTATTTTATCGACGTCCGGGGGGTCGAGTCCGGAACCCTGAGGCATTCCGGCGGCGTTATTCCTTAGACCAATCTTTTAAGCCGCAATTTGTGTTCTTTGCTCTTCATTATAGGTTAATTATTTATGTATTCATCAATAAAACATTAAATTATTTTAAATATATGAATCTTTTTTCGATCCTCTTGGTAGTCTCAAGAAAATAAGCCAATTTAATTTTTTCTCCAATAAATATCGCTTAATCAGGATTTATTTTTTAGGATCAAAACGGGCAGCGTACTTTTGGCTATTAATTAAAAAAATTAAAAATTAATTATTAGAAAATATATATGAAACATGTTATTATTATTTCCTTATGATTATTTAAATGGAAAAAACGCGTAGTGTCATTTTTAGGCTTATAATATGAAATATCAAGCCCCATTGGTTGGTTATCACTGTGGTCGGTTTTTATTATTTTATATTTATTTATTCATCTTAATTACACATTTTATGTTATTGACCATATCGCGAGATGATTTTTCGTCACGTCTTTTGATCTGTAAACTATAACAGTACTAATGTTAATAATAAATACATTTATTGCTTTGTCAAATATACATATTATTACTATTACATAAAATTACATATTATTAAGGCAAACAAAAGGCATAATAAAACACAGACATCCAGCAAAACCAGACACTGTTCAAGCCTCAATTTAATGTAAACCAAATTATCCTAAGAACAAGAAAAAAAAGAGTCTAATAAAATTAAATATGTTACGCAGTGTCATTCAATACACCGACGATTCAGTTGGATTTAATTGCAGTAAATGATCGGATGCAATTTTATAAATCAGTGATAATTTTAGTCAAAAGATAATAATTACAATATTTTAAAGTCTTTATAAAGTTAAACGTTTAGATTTGACCTCAGTTGTTTACATTCTGTGGGGTTGTTTACTTTAGGAAGCGGTGTGACCTTTGCATGCTTCTGGAAAATAAGTATTAGAGTTATATTTAATTTGTTGCCTTAGATTTAATATTTTTAATTATGTAAAATATTTCCTTCTCTGTAGCCAGTGTAAAACGTAGCTTCTAATTGATTGTTCTCATAGAAATTGATTAATTCCTGATCTGGTATTGTCTTATTTTCGACAGAGTTTATAAAAAACTCACTCAGATCATTGGAATTTCGCAAATTATTTGGTAGTATATTTTCTTTTGACTTGGTTATATTAAGTCTTTTTAATCCTGACCACGTGTACTTCGAATTTGCATATATACGCAGGAAGTTTTGTAAGCTTAATTTTTATTATTTTTATAAATGTATCGTACGATATTTTATTTATTTTATTTTATTTTATTTTTTTTATTTTATTTATTTATCGCATGGTAATTTGACAAAAACCAAATAATGGCCTGAAATATTTTAATCTAACACACCAGAATCAGTTACATTACGTCAGTTGCAAAAAGCAAATATATTAAATAAAGCCTTGTTACTTTAGAAAAATCGAATTTTTCGAAAATATCTACGCTCGTATGAAAATTTTATATCTCGTTAAAGCCATTGGTACAGAAATGATCAGCGTCGAAAAATTTTTTTTTCCTGAATAACTTTTGAACCGTTGGCGCTACAAAATTGAAGTTTGCCCCCTTTTTAACCCTCCACGAGATGCATAAGCTTGTAAGAAATGGCCTCGATCTGAGACTGGCATCAATCTTTTTTTTCGCGATTTTTGACAGTTTTTTGAACATTGCTATGAAACGCGATAAGTGTCCGAAATTTGAAGTAATCGACTTCATATTTGGTACATATATGCAGTTTTGACCTGTGACGGAACCTATTGAAAATGGGGACGCTGGGGGGACGGTAAGTATTTTTAAAAAAATAGAAATCGCGTGTGCAAGGGTCTACAAAAAAGACAATTTTTCAAAAGCGTTTAGAAAACCGAAAAATTCTTGAATCAAAAGACGCAGATGATACGGCTCCAAAAACTTTTATTCTTCACAATATTTCAAAAATATACACGGTACGCCGCAAATTCAAAAAATTGAAAAATTGGTAACCCTATTATTGAAAATTGGCAATAATTTCAATTTCAAATCTGTGTTTCACTTTCCTTTAGATAATGAAATATCCCAACCAACCAAAACTTTTATATTTAAGGTTTTTAAGTGTTTGTATTTAAGGATGTTCGCGATGTTCCGTGCAATATTAAAAAACATAATAAGTGCCCCAAATTTGTAGCTACCAATTTCAGAGATGGTAGAGAAGTAGAAGTCTGGACTCGCATTTAGACTCTTTAAATTGAAAGCAACAAAATAATGCGAAATATATTTTTTTAATTTTTAAATTTTTTTTTTGTTATTTTATCATCCAGAAAACCTCTTTTTCTTCAAAACCCTCCATCGGATCGGAAAAATTTTACAACCGTAATACGTGGGAGACCCGATGCTATAACTTTAGTTTTACGCATTTTTTCGAATATATACAAGGTGTTTTAGTTATGGATAAAAATCTAAAAGACAAAGAAAATATTAACCGTGAATGAAAATTCGAACACAAAATAGCTAATCCGTTCACACAGTGTTATAAGCCGTACCAAGAGCTACAATTTTTGAATTTACGGTTCTCGCCCTCAATTTAGACGTGATGACGTCATTTACTCTTACCACGTACTGCATGGTTTCAGAAAAAAAGTATTTTTTTGAGAACCATTGGCTGGAAAAATTCGGATACCAGGATACTAAGGAGATAGAGGGCTATAGCCTCTATTTCGAACATTGTTGGAATCATATACAGGGTACGTCGTTTGTGGGCAAAAAATTCTAGTAAATCCTAGACCTTTTGTGGGTGAATTTATTAGCGATAAATTTTTTAAAGATGTGATGATTTCATATGAACAGTATCGTAAACTGTGTCGAGAGATAGTATAAGGTTTCGTCTATAATACAGGGGACGCGTGATATTTGAAAGAATATAGTTTTAAATTGCAATTACTTTATACAGGGTGCATTCAGAATAAAATTACATCGATTTTGCGAAAGTTTCATAGTGCTCCGCAGGAGCACGATAGAAAAACAATGCGAAGCGCCATCTTTTTAAAATAAAATGCTGATTCGCGCTACTTGGGACGAATCTTGTTTCTGATATTCTAGAAGGTTTCATACTAAAAATTTCAAAGATATTAAGTAGACAATAAGTTCTTAAGGAATTGGACTCCTGCATATCTATGTTGAAGGTACCCAAACACATGATTTTATCCAATTCAGAATACATTAACATACACTTTTAGTGCGAAATTTATGAACACGTATAAAGATATAAAAAGATTTACGTGAAACAATTTCACACGAAAATTTTAATTGATCCTTTATAGGAGAAAAACGAATGATTCAAATCCTTAATAAATTTTTAATATACATGGGCTTGGTGTTTTCCAACTTATCGCAAAACTAATCGAATAAAAAAAGTGCGTTTTACGCTAATCGGCGACGAGTATGGTAATTGACAAGATCCACCTGTTCTCAAAACTTACGCGGGCTTTTTTTTTGCTCGAAATCGGCGAATATTCGTTTAATTCAAAACGTAAGCCGCAACGCCCACGAGGCTCTCCGCCACAGCCATAAATCTTAGTTCCGCACCTCCTAGAGCTTTCTATTTGCCGTCTGAGGTTTCGGCATTCGACCGATGACTTCGTCGTCGACCTTTTACGCCTGGCAATATTCAGGCTAAGACCGGCGGCACGGTTCCGAGTACAATGGGACAAATTAGAAAAAAATTAAGCACGAGAATCGGTATTCTGGGAATTTCAGGGATTTGAAATGTCCTGAAAGGTCACTAATTGTGTGAATCAAATCGGAAGACACAGAGACTACCAAAATTATTAGCAACAATATGAAGCGGTTTCAAAATAATGCACCGTTCGTTTTCAGTAAAGTTCTTACATTGTTACAATTACATTTCTGCCACTAAAGAAACTTAGGAGAAAATTGAAATTTTATTTTTTGTCGCAAAACATCCACAAAGTCCTATTGCAAGATCTACACTGAGTAAAATTGAGAGAAAAACCCCTTCCAAAACAGGATTTCTCATTAATTCGCCTTGTTTCGTATCTAACTTGAAATTTAAAATCACCTCAACTTTGTTATACACGTTTGATTTTAAATATCGCCAGAGTAACTGAAGATATATCGACCCTCTTCCCCCAATTCAATGCCACATGCATTTGTCGAGTAAAATGGTACCGGATGGTAAACGGACCATCATCCTTTTCAAATCAAATCTGTCTTACTTTTTATAAAACTTCTGGATTCCTCCTGCGTCGGTTTTTGTTGACTCGAACTAGCTAACGTTTAGCCAATCGTCCTGATGGCTTCTTCAGAGTTTTACTGAAACTGGCTCGCATTTTACTCTGTAACTGCTTATATATTTTTTGAGGGGGCGGAGCTAAATGAAGGGTATAAACACCGTCTCGGGTGACTGATTCCCATATTGGTGACAGGTAGAGACCTGAGTCGCGGTTAAGATTGTTAGGTTGCTTATAGATTTCTATAGACTCTCGGATTTTTCGTTGGAAGAAGAATTGATTACATGCAAGACTTTTAGTTTTATCGAATAAAATTTTATGTTTGAAGTTTATTGTCTTAGTCTTAAGGCTCTTTCACGTTCTTTGAGAATACTTAATATTTTGCGTCCCTGGCTAACTGGTCCAAACAGTATTGTGGCCACATCGAGAGCTGCAATTTTTGTATGTACGTTTTTGATATGTGAAAAAATTCAAGTGAAAATCGCCATTTCTGGCACACAATCTCGATGCGATGACGTCATTTACTATGACGGTTGTTTCAGAAAAGAATTATTTTCTCGATAACCATTTACTCTATTGGAAAAATTCATAGACCGGAAAACGTGGGAGATCGAGGACTATAACCTCTACCTCTATCAGGTTTCCAATTATGTACAAGGTGTGTCGAAAATAGGCACAAAA